CCACCTCCCACCCACCCCCACCTCCCACCCACCAACCCAGGCCCCAGCAGCGGAGGCAGAAGCCATCATAGCGCGCCGCTTCCCGGTGCCGCGGCTCACCGTCTGCGACCAGAACGGCTCCCAGGCGCGCTTCCTGCTGGCCAAGCTGAACCCCAGCGCGACCTACCAGTCCAGCGCTGCGCTGTCCAGCGAGGTCATCATGACCGACGACGTATCGCTGTCAGTGTTCACGGAGCACCTGAAGAAGCTGGCGGTGCAGAGCTGAGAGGAGTGAGGGCGCATGCCGGCCAGGAAACACCTCCATGCGCCATGCACAGACCCCTTGGCTTTCGCCTCGTCACTCCCCTCACTGATCTCGCCCGAACCCCCTAGACTTGGTCTGTGTTGCATGCTAGCACGATCGACGCAGTTCCCAGCCGAGACGAAGCGGGGGTGGGCCATCGAACTCCGGAAGCGCGAGTTCGACGACCCACGGTGGGGGGCGGGTCTGAACACCACTCGCGTCCCGTAACAGCCCGGATCCCGCAGAGCAAGTGCAAGAAGCAAGAGACACGGGTAAGAGCTCCGCGATCCGCAAGCATGAGGTCAGCATGGACGCAGGCCCTGCTGCTCCTGGCCGGGACAGCATGGGCTGTGTCGGCAGCCAACACCCCGGGACGGCAAGTCACCATCGCCGGCATGCGGCTCAACACGTGGGCGTATCAGGAGAAGAGCGCCACCAACCCCCTGGATGATATCTGTGAGTACCCCCTCGAGGCGAGGGCCGGGCGAGTCCCCCAGCAGGGCGTCAGCATGCTCATGCGGCACTGCGCGCCCATACCCTCGCCATTCCATGCAGGTTGAATATCCTCGGCGCGATGCTAAACAGTGCCTCAGCTCAACACCTCTTGTTCCCTCTACATCCCACAATGCAGCCCTGGCCCTATCTGCATCTGCGGAGACTGCGGTGCTGTGCTACTCCACGTGGTACCCCGTCACCACATGGAACATGTTTGTCCACGTCCCCTCCGTCGCCTGGCCCAATATCTGGTGAGTTTCAGGGGTGGCTTGGTGCTTGAGAGTCCATCCTGATTCAATGCGCTTGCTCCTGCACCCTCTGCCGTTGGCAGGCCCATCACTCAATGCGGAAGTGTCGCCTGCGCCAGCCCCTGCGCTTGGAGAATCGCGCTGGCCATGACATCACCCCTCCCCCCCCGTCCCCCCACACACATCAGGTACTTCCCCATGAGCACCCTGATAGGCAGCTGGCCCCTCCAGGCCGGGGACAACCTGGTTTGCGAGCTGTGGGAGTGCGACGGCGGCGTGGGCGGGTGTGACCCGGCCAAGCCCTCCCTCCTGCCCAACGCCACGGCGGGCGACGACCGGCTGGGGGAGCTGACCCTGGGCATGGACGACTACGCCGCGCAGCTGACGCTGACCAGCAGCTTCAACACCAGCGCCACGAACGCCGCGGCGGGGGTCATGCTGGAGTGCGACGAGTGCTGGCAGCTGTGGAGGGACAACAACGGGGCGTGGGTGAACCCCTACCGCCAGGGCGACCTCCCCGCCTCCATGCGGAGCGGGGCGGGCATATCTCCCCCGCCCGCGCCGCCCGCCGGCGCGGCGGGGTCCTGGCTCGTGGCGGGCCAGGCCGGCGCGGCGCCAGAGTCCGGAGCAGCGCCCAAGGAGGACGCAGCCAAGCCTGCCGCCAATGCCCCGGTCGCAGCCGCACCCGCCCCGGCGACCAGCGCCCCGCGGGCGGCCGCGCCCTCCCCCACGCTCGAGAGCGGTAGTCCACGGTCCACGCCGAGCGCCTCCCCCACCGCGCCAGCGCCACCCTCGCCCGCTCGGCAGCAGGTCCTGGCGCCCGTGCCCTCGCCCCCGGCCCCACAGGAGGTCACCTCCTTTGATGGCCCCGACGAGAGCCCCTCGCCAGTGGAGCAGAGCCCTGCGACGGCCGAGAGTCCCGCGCCGGCCGACGCGCCGGTGAAGGGCGGTGGCCTGGCCACAGGCGTCATCGCCGCCATCGGCGCGGTCGTCGGGCTCCTCGCCCTGCTGGCCATAGGCACTACCATCTACTGCGCTCGCCGGGGGAAGTGCTGCTTCGGACGCGGCAAAGTCTCGTGAGTTTCAATGAGGGTATTTCAGATGCCGGGCTGCAGAGGGGGTTCTTGAGGGACCAGTGAGAGGGCGGCCCGGCGCATGCACCATGTCAGGGGTCCTTTGCACACTACATGAGCCCTCCTTCTGCGGTGTCCTAGTTAGATAGGGTATTTCAGTATTCCTGGGCACCCCTGCCCAGCACACCCCTCACACATGCACAAACACATGTACAACCTCCTCCCAACCACCGTCCCCAGGCCTGAGACGGCGCCATCGGACGCCGAAGCGCAGGCAGAGGACCCAGCCCTGCACGTGAACGTGAGGAAGCCGAAGCACGCCCTGCCCCTGATGAGGGCGGCCAATGCCAGCGCGGCCACCGTGACGACGCCCTGGGCGCCAGACCTCCTGGAGGGCCGCAGCGATCCATGAATTGTGTGGAAGTATGTCGGCATGCCTGACCAGGAATAGTGTTGTTATTTCATTGAAGCTTGTTAAGTGCCGTCAAATAACTCCATCCTTACTCCTCCCTTGACCCTGCTGTGTGCTTGGATTCATGTCGATGTTTAACCTGAAGTACCTGGTCGGCAGTTGTGCGCGAGAACGATGTTCATTACTGCGAGGAACGGGATGCTGTGAGGCACAGCGCACCTCCACCTCGTCACCGTATCGGGGCTGCAGTGTACCACAGGCAATGTGATCGGGAGGGAGCTGGCCCCCAAGGTTTCTCGGCATGGGGGAGCTAGCCCCGGAGGACGCGGTGCACCGCACACGCACCGTCATCCTCATCGCCGCCGCGTCGATCTTAGAAAAGGCACGGAGGTTGGAGCGTGCTGGGGAATGTGGGGATGCGACGGCAACCCGCATGGCGCCGGGACCGGGCCCTCGCTACCCCGGTCGCAGAGCGTCGAGCCCCAATAGCACTTTCAGGCCGGTGCCCTAGGCTCAGCCCTCAGCCCTCAGCCCTCCCACCCCTGCACCCTACCCTTCCCCCCCTAGTGCGATGAGCAGATCCTGCCCGCCCTGTACGCCTGGGTGGGGGCGGCCTTCCAGGCCACCCCCACCCAGCTGGGCAACCTGGCCCTGGCCCGCGCCATGATGCAGGCCCTGGCCAGCCCGCTGGGCGGCGTCTCGAGCGCCCTGGCCCCCCGCGGCGCCGTCATCGCCGCGGGCTGCCTCATCTGGGCCACCTTCACCGCCCTGTTCGGCACGCTCTCCTCCTACGCCCTGGCCGTCCCCGTGCTGGCCATGAACGGGCTGGGCCTGGCCCTGGTCATCCCCAACGTCCAGAGCCTGACGGCGGACTACTACCCCCCCGGGGCGCGCGGCCGCGCCTTTGGCGCCCTCTGGCTCGTTATCAGCCTGGGGGGCATGCTGGGCGCGCTGTACGCCACCAACATGGGCGCCGCAACGCCGCTGGGAGTCCCCGGCTGGCGCTTCGTCTTCGTATCCGTCGCCGTCGCCTCCGCCGGCGTGGGTCTGGCCAACGGCATCTGGGTGCACGACCCGGGCTACGCAGGGCGGGCCGCCGCCGCTCGCGAGGCCGGCGCCTCGCTGTCCAGCACGCTGCGGGCCATGGGCGCGGGCGTGCTGGCCGTGGCGGGCATCCCCACCTTCCTCCTCATCATCACGCAGGGCATCGTGGGGTCGGTGCCCTACGCATCCCTCATCTTCCTCACCCTCTACCTCCAGCTGGCGGGCATGAGCGACGCACACGCCAGCCTCCTGGTCGCCGCCTACCTGGCGGGGGGCGGCGTGGGGGGGCTGATCGGCGGCGCCGTCGGCGACCTTGCCGCCCGCCTCTCGCCGGGGCACGGCCGCATCCTGGCCACGCAGTTCAGCGTGGCCGTTGGCATCCCCTTTGCCTGGGTCATCTTCCGGGTGAGCCCGGGCACCGCCTGGAAAGGGGGTTTTGGGGCCGGGTATGAAGGGGATGGGAAGGGAATGGGAAGATCCGTCGGCACCCCACATTTGCCCCCTCGAGGAGCGCTGGCCTCCTCTTGCATGACCCTGCCTCCACTCTGCCATCGGGCCAACCCTCACCCTCCCCACCCTCCAAAGGTGCTCCCCATGGATGGCAGCACACCGACCTTTGTGCTCCACCTGATCGTCATCCTGCTCTTTGCCATGCTCACGGCTTGGCCAGGGCCCTGCTGCAACAACCCTGTGTGAGTCGGTGGTTGCAGCCTGACAGGGGGATTCTGGACTATGAAGGAAGGGGAGTGCAGGAGGAAAGAGGTGGCTTGTGTGCTGCGCTGTATGGAGTATGTGTCGCGCTGGCACGGCTGGCATCCCTCTCACCCAGCGGATGTTCGGAGCGATCCGATGCACCCCCAGCAGCGTCCCCGGGACTCTTCGCCTCCCACCTGACTCGCAGCTGCCCCTCGCCTCGCTGCCCCATCCCCTCCCTGAAAATCTCACCCCCCCTCTCTGCACATGTTTCAGGTTTGCCGAGATCGTGCCTGCCGCGCAGCGCAACCTGGTCTATGCCTTTGACCGCTGCTTTGAGGGCGCGGTGGCGGCCTTTGCAGCCCCGCTGGTGGGCCTGCTGGCAGAAAAGTGGTACGGCTTCTCCGGTGCCAGCACCGTGACCGGGAACAGGGAGCGGGACCTGGCAAACGCACGGGCCCTGGGGTCAGCGCTCCTCGCCTTCCTCGCCATCCCCTGGTTCATCTGCCTCTGCGTCTACTCAGGTACCAGTTTGGGCGTGTCTTGAGAGCTGACTGGGGTTCGGGCGCAGGTCCCGTCTCAGCCACACTGCCATGCAAGGGGATTCGCGCATGCAGCCGTGGCAGGCAATGGAGCCGAGTGTTGTCTGGGCGCCCGACCACCACCCAATGCCACCCACCCATCAACCTCGACCCCCGCTCCAGATGAAGCATTTCTGTTCTCCCCCCGCCCCTCCCCCCCACAAGGGCTGCACTGGACGTATCCGGAGGACAAGCGCAAGGCGCTGAAGCTGGAGATGGAGCTGGCGGAGCTGGAGATGCGAGTGTCCGGCCTGTCCTGGGACGAGGCCGGGGAGGACAGGGAGGCGCGGAGGGGCGCCGCCGAGGAGCAGCGGCTGCTGGCCGAGGAGGGCAGGCAGTCCAGGCCGCGTTCGCCCCCGAAGCCCGAGAGGTCTGCCAGGAGCAGGATCGGCGCGGCGACGGTCGCGGCGCCGGTCCAGGGCCTGGCACGCAGCCCGCGGGCCTCTGCCGCGAACCTACGGGGCGGCGAAGGCGCCGAGGCCGGCCGAGCCGGGTCTCTGCGGAGCTGGCCCAGTGCGGTCAGCCTCTGAGTGTTGCAGGGAGTTGGCTTCCCAACTCCCCATGCAACGCTGGGTATGCACCGGGTCCCCCGACTCGTTGACCTCGGCTGATACTTGACATCACATTTACCTTGCAACAACCCCCGCCCAAGGCTAGGGGGACTGAATTTTGTAGGAAACTGGCACATGTCACTGGAAGAAATAAGAATCTACTGTGTCCATGGGAGCTTGTGTGTGGCAAAGTAGCCTTGGGCTCAGTCCAGGGCTGAGGAGGGGGGCGAGCCACGGACGCAATTCCAAACAAGGCATACATTAATGCCCGAGCGTCCTCCCGCTCTGTGCGCCTAGCCCAATCTCGCAATTCCCCTGAGTCTCAAGGCTGTGCCTCTCATCGCCTACTCAGCACGGCAAGAATGAGGGCCACCTGCGCACGGCAGGTCCCAGGGAGAGGCGAGGTTGGTTCATGGCTCTCAGGTATACCAAATCTGCAGCCTGCACCTCAGGGACAAAGCGGCCCCTTGATTGGTATCATGCTCCCCAACTATGCATCCCGGGTCTCTACCCACCAAGAGCACATGGGTGAGGGTGGGATTGAAGCCGGAGGGGCTTCCCAGCACGCTCTCGAACACTTGGACCAGCTTCTTGAGGACTGAGCGTGGTGATGGTACGGGACAGAGTGAGTTCCGGTGTTCTAAGGGATAACATCATACCAGTTGTGGATTTCGTAATGCTGCCTTGAGCTGTGCATCCCCACCCATGCCCACCGCACACACCTGGCTGCACACTGTCCAACAGCAGAGGGTGGCGGGAGGAGGAGAAGCGCTCCAGGGCGACGTACGCGATCTGTACGCCAGGGATGCGAAGGGAGTCGATGAACGGACGGAATCATCCGATTACATGTCTCCTGGTACTCTGGATCACACTCCCGAGGTGCACCTTGAACTGCGCCAAGCTCAGCACGCTGGCGAAGATGAGGAGGGTGGGAGTTATCAGCAGACCCAGCGGCCCCAATCCGCCCAGCACCATCGCACGTGATGTTTGAATGGAAACCTTTACTTCGAGAGAACAGTCTGTCAGGTTATCCTTTGACGCAAGCCTTGGTCTATATATGAAGTGCTTGCAAAGTGACGGGACGCGTTCGCGCGTGCGCCCAGCCACAGCTGGTTTTGAGTGACGACTCCCCTCGCCCATACCTTGAATGCTGACCACCCTTGCTGAATCACGAGGGGATACTGCAGCACTTGATGCGAGGAAAGCTCAGAAAATCAAACATCATACTTGTCATGCAGCCCAACAGCGATGCATTCGCACATGCTCAACCAGCGTCCAGCACAGCGTTGGGACCTTTCACGCCGCCTCGGCCCTGGCAGCAGGCTGGCCCTCGTCAGAGTCTCCAGCCTCCTCTGTCTGTGGCAGTGGAAAAAGAGCATTCACCCAGTCATTGGACAGGATGTTCTTGGGGTCCAGCCGCCGTCGCGCGGCCTGGAAGGCAGCCACCGGGAACCTCCTCCCCAGCCTTTGCCTCAGGGCCTCCAGCTCGGCGGCATCCTCAGGGGGCTCCACCTTGGCCCAGTGCTCGACGGCGTCGTACTTGTCGAACAGCGCCTCGGAGACGAGGGTCCTGTAGCGCTTGAAGCTGTGGCCGGGGCGGTGGGGTGGGGGTGGTTGAGGGGGCCCGTCGTGAGGGAGGTATGATCGACATTTCCCTTGGACCATTGAGAGAGGTATGCATGGACCCGTGACCACTGCATCCTCACTCCCACATCTCCTGGCCCCCATTGAAAACAGACAGCACACACCTCTGCACGACGGCGTCCCTGCGCCGCTCCCCCTCCGCGTCGCCGTCCTCGGGCACAGGCAGGTACTGGATGATGCCCACCCAGGAGAAGAGGTCGGCCGCGCCGCCACGCGCGGGGCTCATGGCCGAGGCGCTGCCCGCCGTCCAGCGCTGCTCGATGGGCGCGGGCGCGGGCAGGCCTTCCCGCTCCACCAGGGCCAGCAGGTCACGCGCGTAGGCCAGGTCGGCGCCCGCGGGCGCGGCGCGCGTGCCCGTGGCGAAGCACGCCTCGCTCACGCACTGCTGCCCGCCGCAGTCGAAGCCCAGGACCTCGTCGCTCCAGCCCACGCGGTGGCCCGCCGAGCCACGCCAGTAGGCGGCCTCGGCCGCGTTCACGCGTCGCACCCAGCCGGCGTCCAGGGGCGCGTGGGCGAGGAGCTCGTCGCGCAGCTGGAAGGCAGACAGCGGTGCGGCCTCGCGCTCCGAGAGCAGGCGCGCGGTGACGGCCAGCGCGCGCAGCGCCGCTGCGGGGTCGGCTTTGCCTCGTCCCGCCGCCGCCGCAGCCGCCGCGATCTCCGCCTCGGCGCGCGCGGCGGCCTCGGGACCCGCCTCCACGCTCTGCACGACCACCACGGCGTCGGTGTGCGGGATCCACATGTAGCGCAGGTGCCGCGCGGCGGCCAGGCGCGTCGCGTGCGCGGCGCACACCTGCGCCGCGCTTTCCACGCTCGTCGTCTCCAGCAGGCGGTGCGCGGGGACGCAGCGCAGCGTCAGCTCCGCCACCACCCCCAGGCAGCCCAGGCCCACTCTGGCGAGCCGGAAGAGCTCCGGGTCGGACTCCTGTGCGTCGTGTGTGTGTTTGAGGGTGGGGCGTGGTCGAGGCTCTGCAATGGCAGGTTCAGGACTGGGAGTCCCTTGCACGAAATGCAGCGCTCACACCGAGTGGGTGTGGGCCAGGGCAGTGTGCACGATGCTACTCCAGCACCGGCAGGTGGTGGCCGTCGTCTCATGACCCTTTAATTCCACAGCCAGCCTCCCAGGGTGACCCTCCTCTGCCATGGGGCCACTTCACCACCTCACGGTCCTCTCCACACCCTCACCCCACCTCACTCCCCGCTAAACCCTCAAACCCCCAACAGACACACAGGGCTCACCTCTGTGATGTCCAGGACACCCTCCGCCGGGGTCACCAGCTTCATGCCCACCACCTGCGCGTCCACGGGCGGGATGCCCGCGCCCGTGCCGTGCGCGCCGGCCTGCACGAAGCCCGCCACGCTCTGCTCCCGGATGCTGGCGTAGTTTTGCAGGGTCAGCCCGTGCTCGCGCAAGCGCGCCGCCACGTCGGCGATGCGCGCGCCGGCCTGCACGGTGACCAGCCGCCGCTCGGCGTCGATGGACAGGATGGCGTCCATGTGGGCCAGGCTCAGCATGCCCTCCTCCGAGAAGGCCATGCCGTTGGGGGAGAGGGCGGAGCCCACCACACGCAGCCTGCTCCCTGTTTGGGGGGAGGCGGAGAGAGGATTTGGGGGCATGAATCTTGATGGTGGTGGGCCACTGTGTTGAACCAGCTGTCGAGTGAGGGGGAGGAACAGGCGGGGGGGGAGAGGCTCACAGGAGAGCCTGCCATTCGCTGCCATGGCTGTCAGCGTGGGGAACTCCAACAACCGTTCAAGGCACGCTCGCGTGACATCGGCCAAAACAGCATGCTCACCGAGCAGGCATTCCATGCGCAGATCCATGACATCCATTTCCCAATACCACCCCACCGTACGCACCGCCTTTGTGCGCGAGGTTCATGATGTTCTCCAGGTCCTTCAGGCTCTCGGGCTCGTACAGGCGGTGCGCCACCACGGTGTGTGTTCCGCTCCAATTGCTGAACTCGGCCTTGGGGGTGGCGCTGAGGATGGGGTCCCGGCGCGCAAAGCCCGAGTAGTAGCTGGCTCCGGCCGCCCCGACCAGGAGCACTGGGGTGGGGCAATGCGTTGGGATGAGGGGGGGTGTTCGTGAGAGGGCCGGGGCTGGTACTGGGACGTGGAGGGGTACATGTGTGCGCTTTGGATCATCGAACGACTTCCAGCCGCATCCCCGCACGTGGGGGACGATGCCAAAGCTCTGGGCCCTTGCAGCCCCCCCACCAATCCCTGATGCCAGAGTAGGCAGACAGGCACCCACCTCCAGCCAAGATGTTGTTCCGCTTCATGGCCCGGAGCTCCTCAGGAGTAGGGGGCCTGAAGGGGTGGGGTGCATCATGGGGCGCAGGCCGGGAGGCTCTCGAGGAGAAGGACCTTGATTCTCCACCACCTGGAGTGAGTGGGGTTTCGGGTCAAAGATGAGCAGCCAGAGACTCTACAGTTCTCGATGGTCCACCCAGTCCACAACCTGCATGCATGTCGATCCTCTCGGCAGGCACTCACCCTTACAGGTCCCAAGCACACGCCTCAGGAGGCGCTGGAGGCTCCGAGGAGCATGTGAGGTGCTCGCCATAGCCCGCCCAACGCCTGCCCCCAGAAGATAGCTCACACCCCACGCTAAGGCAGCATGTAAAATCCTCGCATCCGACAGACATCAAATTGTGGTTCCTCGACGATGGGCTCACCTCGACCACGGACATTGTATCGGTGGGTTCCGATTGTTCGCGCCCAGGCGCGTGCTGGTGTGTCAATCTCGATACGAACCAACCTGTCCCTGAACGCTACGCACGAATGCGAACTCTCAATGGCTGACGATCCTGATATCTGCATGAACTTCGCGCAATGAATCTGAGGGTGCGAGGCCCTCGGGGACTGGCTACCTTGCCAAGTGAGTGGGGGCCTGTTCTTCCTCTGGGCTCCTCGTCCAGGCGGGTCGAGATGCAATTGAAGCGCACTCCCCTGTAGCATCCATTCCGATGCACCGCAATCACTCCAACAAAAAGCTTGCGTGCAGGCGTGGACCCCACCACCTCCACCTCGGAGTTTCGGAACTTGCTGGAATCCGCGACCGGCATCCCCGCCCTCCGACAGGAGGTTCTGGCAGGCTTCCCCCCGAGGCCCCTGGACCTGACCAGCGATGTGTCGATCACGGTTCTGGGCATCAAGGCGGGGGACATGCTGACCGTGAGGGAAAGCGTCCAGGCCCTGCGGGAGCCAGCCGGCGAGGAGCAGCACACTGAGACCGCATCAGAAGTCTCCACACTGCATGCCATGGAAGCGATGGTAGGACGTCTGTGGGGTGGTGCAAGGTTGTGCTGTGTCTGGGGCCAGCACTGGGGATTGGCGCACTTGGCGCTCTCTTGCTGCGATGAGGACGTCGCCTCCAATGGGGCATGCTCCTGCCTCACCAGTCAGGCCTCCCCAACCCGATGCCGTCCTAATATGCACAATGCCCGTGCAATCGCACTCAGAGCATCCCTCAAGATCGATGCAATTCATACATCTTCCACAGGATGAGGACGAGGCGCTGGCGCGCGCCATTGCTGCAAGCCTGGACGAGCCAGCGGCTGCCTCCCAGGCCCCTCCTGCGCAGCCCCGCCCCGCACCCGCCGTTTCTCGGCCCGCCACCCGCATCCACACCCTGGCAAGCGCGAGCGGGAGGGATTCTGGCGAGGCGCACGCCGCGCCCCCACCCGGCGCCGAGGTGATGCTGCCGGACGGCAGCTGCCTGGTGCGGCGCGTGATCGACGCGGACAACAGCTGCCTGTTCAACGCGGTGGGGTACACCATGGAGAGCGGGCTGCGGTACAAAGCTCCCGTCCTGCGCCAGATGATCGTGGAGGCGGTACTGGCCGACCCAGGGCAGTGGAGCGCCGCCGTCCTAGAAAAAGACCCTGTGGACTACTGCGCCTGGATCGACGACCCACACCACTGGGGCGGCGCCATCGAGTTGTCCATCTTGTCCAAGTGAGCGTGTGTGTGTTTTTTGGTGGGGGGGGGTTGAACAGTGGATCAGGGGGGTGATTATTCAAGGGGAAGTCGGCGAGAGGATGGGTACCTGCGGGTGGGTTGCAAAGCCCGTGGAGGGACGTGAGGGCAACAGCAGTGTGGTGGAGGCATGAGGCCACGGCAAGCTTCTGTCCTGTGACTGGCCGGCCCCTCCCTTTCCACCGTGCAGGCGGTACGGGCGCCAGATCGCGGCCTTCGACATCCAGACGCAGCGCCTGGACCTGTACGGCTCCGAGCACGCCGACTACACCGAGCGCGTGCTGGTGCTCTACGACGGCCTGCACTACGACGCGCTGGCGGTGTCGCCCTTCCCCGGCGCGCCCGAGGACATGGACGCCACGGTGTTCCCTGTGGACGGCCGGCGTACGCGCGAGGTCATGGCGGCGGCGGGGCGGCTGGTGGCGGCCGCGCACGACGCGCGCCAGTTCACCGACACCGCCGCCTTCACGCTGCGCTGCGGCGTCTGCGGTGCTGGCCTGCGTGGCGAGCGCGAGGCGGTGGGCCACGCCAAGGCCACGGGCCACGCCGACTTCTCAGAGTACTAGTGGAGTTTTCTTAAAGGGTGTGAGTGTGTGTGGCCGAGGGGGGCTGATCGTCACGCTCTGGGTCTCGGTGAAGTGGCCCCGTAGGGCCGAGAGAAGTGGTGCAAGGCGGGGCGAGATGCATGCTGGCCATGGCCATGACGCGGCAGGCCGACGTAGACGCCCCAACCGAGACCTCCTCTCCTGGAGATTGTCCGCACTGAGCCTCTGCGACACCGTGCATATGCACACCGCTGACACACCCGCTGCCGCCCTTACTTCTTTTACACACAAACACTTGCTTGCCCTGCCTGCCCCGGGATCATAGCAGGCACTCTCATTGCCACGGGTGCCCCATTGCAAGCACTGCACCTACAACATATAAATGTGGGGCAACCAACGACACACCTCCAGCTCACTCGGGTTCCATGGCCTTGGCCAGCCCCTGCGCAAAGGCCCGCTTTGCGTCGGGGGCCACAGGGTCTTGACCCAGGTACATCTCGAACAGGCCCTTCACCAGGGTCGGGGAGGCAATGGTGCCAGCCTGGGGGATGGGTGGGTGGGTTAGGGAGCTGTGTCGGACGCACGATGGAAGGTGGGGAAAGCTGGCTCCTGCACAGCGTCGGCTCGTTAGCATCGGCACTGCAATGGCTGGCGATCGACAAACCCTCCCAGCCCTGCTCACACAGCCTCTCGATGCCCCTTGACCCCTGCCATTTGGAGCCCGTGCTGCAGTACCTCACCTTCACGCCATCTATATATGTATCAAGCTGCGTCCCGGAGGTGGTGAAGGCCACCTCCGTGCCCCTGTGGAAGCCCTTGCTCTCAAACTGCGCCGCAAAGGCCGGCAGGGAGGTGGAGTCCCCAGCCTGGGGGAGGTGATTGGTAGGGCGACGTGGATCTCATGAGGCCCAGACATGCTCAGAAGTTTAGATCATGCAGGGCTTGAAGTGACTGATGCCTTGCAGTGAAGATAACACGAAAACCAGGGCACCATACATCAGCCAGCCAACGATGAGAGAGCACGAGGGTTCTAAGAACCCAGTGACTGCACCCCTTCCCACCCCAGCCAGGAGGCTGGAAGGCCGAGCGCCACCCTTACTCACACCTGCTCCATCACCGGCGCCAAATTCTCCTCCAGAGCGTGGAGAAATCGGCTCTGGGTGACGAGCCGGCTGGTGATGACGATGCGGAGCGTCCTTTCCAAATCAGAACCATGGATCAGGACTGAGGAAGGTGGGGGAGCGAGGTAAGGAAACGCGGAAAGGGGGATGTAGACAGTGGATGGGGAGGCGATGGGGTGGTCAAGATTGTATGGTCCAATTGAGTTGTGGGTGCCACACGTGTAGCCCTCACACCACAAGCCTCCACCCATGCATGGTGACCGCACCATCAAACATCTGGCTGAGAGGGAGTTCTTGTCCCTCGGCAGTCGCCTTCAGTCGTGGCACGTCCACATAGAGCCCCAGGCTATAGACTGCAAAGAGGATAGGTACACTGGGCTGCTCAACACACGCCATCGACTCGAATCCTCAAATGCCATGCAGCCGTCGTCCAGACGCGCCACACACTCACTGTCCAAGTTCTTGAACCCTGCCAGCTTCCTACTCCTCACTCTGGAGGATGATGGAATGAACAGGGTGTCGTCACAGGCAATCCAACTGGCGGAGTACAGCTGTCGTGGAGGATGCTCAGAGTGGTCTCACCCCCTCGCCAGACCATCTGCAGATCTCACACCCCACAACCCCAGCGACGGCTCACCCAGTGCCGATCAGGACGGGACAGGGTGACTGATCAGCACGCAGGCAAAAGTCGCCTGGGTAGAAAGTGCCTGTGCGCGGCTCCTTGGTTGCAGGGGGAGCATCGCGGCTAGCATCCTGGCTGAGGCTGATGCTGCCGAACGGAGTGTGCGGCCGCACCGCTGGGGGCAGGGCACAATCTAGCCTCAACTTCTTGGCATCTCCCCGGGCGATGAACATCATGAAAGGTAGTTAAATCTATGCTGGTCTGATGCTGCGATGGGAGGGATGCATGCCGTGACATCGGGAGAGATTTCGCATCGGATCCTCCCGATGATGTTCTGGGCGCATCACGGCAACTCCGAAAAGCAGGGTGACATTCTATACTTTGAAGTCCACCGCTGAATTGGAATTGACAGATGCAAACTTCGTCATGCTTATAAGTGTTCCCTTGTGCAAGGATTCATTGTCAGCAGGGCGGTATGTGTGCCGTTACAGACACATTCATGCTGCTGGCTGAGGATCTCCTAATAGCAACTTGCTGTCTTGTAGCAATTGCCAAAAGATCCCCACAAATCAGTCCTCTTAACAAATGCTATTACTCCTACATGTCCTAGCACATAGCTGTGGAAATCACTTTAGGACGCTATCTGAACACACTACATGCGAGTGCATCTCGCCAAGACTTCTGTTGGAATGAACACTCTTGTAAATACATCAAGCAAGATCATAAAGCCATTCCTCTTGACCCTGCTCTCGCTGGTTGGACGTCCAGCACAACTTCAATGCGTAATCAGATAGTCGATGCAGCAGTGCTGCTTTGCAGAAGATGGCGGCGGGACTCTCTCCTTGAGCTTCGCTAGGTGACTTTAAAGATCGTTTGCCCATGCCAAGGTTCTGCGAAGGTTGAGGTAGTGTTTCGCAGGGAATGATAGCAGCTATAGAAGCAGCATGGTACGGGTGCCCTCGTGATTCTTGATGAGTGCAGTTTGATGCCATATGAGTCCCCCAGTCGTCAGAAGCTACCCAGAGGAAGCGATTGGAGTGTGCAGCCTTCCAAGTCTCCAGAAATGATTTTTCAGGCAAGCACAATCGCAGGTGCTATAGCTGAAACTTCAAGCGCAGGCCTCACATACGCTGTGGAAGGAGCCCTGTTTTCGAACATCGACTTCCATCACATGCATGGATTGCATGGTAGCCCGTTGCTTGTCGACGGCTGGTACCCACTGCCCCTAGAATAGAACATTACAGCATGAGCTGTTCGGCAGCTTGCACTTGTTGGTCAACCTCCTCTCAACCCGATCAGGCACTCAGGGTTCTCAGTAGTCAGAGGAGTGACTGAATCGGACGGCAGCTGGACCTTTGGTGGCTGTCCCTGATGGCAGTCCCCAGTCTGCGTCATGGTGAGAAAAGCATGAACGGTTGCAACCCCCATCAATCACACTCAGCATGCCATGTGTAGGTTCACACCATCTTGCCCTCACGAGCCTCTCTCAGGTGCACAGAGCGCGCTTGTGGATCGAGACCATCGGTCGCCAGCCGGCTGTCGTATGCCAGGGCGCAAAATAGAAGTTCACGTACGCCCCTTTTGACCCGGGCCGCCCCGACTCCTCGCGCAGACAACCCACAAGCTCCAGTGGTGGCCCGGCCTCTCCCTCTTTCAGGCCACAGGCCCCGCAACGTAGCAGGGCGCTCTCGAAATGGTGGCACTCAAACTGCAGAAGCGCCTGGCGGCGTCCGTGCTGGGATGCGGTCTGCGGAAGGTGTGGCTGGACCCCAATGAGGTGAACGACATCTCCATGGCCAACTCCCGTGAGTCCGTGGAGGGTATGGATAAGGGATGAGGGCCGCGATGAGCAGCCAGCGGTGGGCGGAGGCGCTGCCCGGCTCGGGCGCAGGCGGGCATGGCTTCCCGCCCCGCCCTGTCTCGGCTCCTCTGCGCCTGGCACGGCCTGGGAGCCCGGTCATGGATGCTGTGGGGATGCGAAGCTCTTCCTCTGCTGTCCCGCTGGCCCGGCGAGTCCCTGGCGGATAGGCCCGGCCTCTCGTCGCAAACGTTTGGGCTGACGGCCCGCCCCCTCCCCTCTCCATCGTCACAGGGCAAAACGTCCGCAAGCTGGTGAAGGACGGATTCATCATCCGCAAGCCCGAGAAGATCCACTCCCGCTCTCGCGCGCGTGCATCGGCAGAGGCTAAGGCCAAGGGCCGACACACTGGCTACGGTGCGTGTTTTCCTCACGACGGAGGGGGGGAGATTGGTGGGCACTGCTGGGCGTACATGAAGCCCCTGGGTCTTTGTGAGGGTGTGTGAAGTTCACAGCAGCCCTCTCCCACAGCCTCTGTCCGTTCCTGGATCGTGGGATGCATGGTATGGCCCCGTCCCCTCTACACCACCTTCCACTACTTCACAACCCCCCCCTCCATCCCGGGCACCCACATGCAGGTAAGCGGCGCGGAACCCGCGAGGCCCGCCTGCCCACCAAGGTCTTGTGGCTGCGCCGCCTGCGCGTGCTGCGCCGCATGCTCAAGAAGTACCGCGACTCCAAGAAGATCGACCGCCACCTGTACCGCGAGCTGTACCTGAAGGTCAAGGGTAACGTGTACAAGAACAAGCGCGTGCTGATGGAGGCCATCCACAAGCAGAAGGCGGACCGCATTCGCGAGAAGGCGCTGGCCGACCAGTTCGAGGCGCGCCGCGCCAAGAACAAGGCCATGCGCGAGAGGAAGCTGGCGAGGAGGGAGGAGCGCCTGGCGGCCGGCATCGTCGGCGTCACCGACGCCCCCAAGGGCGCCGCGCCCGCCAAGGCGTGAGGGCCTTTGGGGCGGGCGGCGGGGTCCGGCGGCGGGGGATGTCCCCCGGCCGGCACTGGTCGCCCTCTCAGGCTCGCGTCTCTGCCACTTGCTGTAAGCTGACACGGATACTCTTGCGGCGACCGCTGATGGGGTCGAGGGGGGCAGGAGGGTAGGGCTTGTTGGCTGACAGGGTGCCGGATGAGGTATCAGAGCATTGTGGGCCCCCTGGGGCCGAGACTTCATGCTGCACTGCAGCAGGCAATCACTTTGGGAGAACGAGGGGATTGTCGCATTGGGCAGCCACACAGGGAGCATCAGGTTTGCAAGCAGCGGAATGAGCGGTGGCGGAGACGTCACCCGACTCCCGGCAGCCTGTCCCCAGGGTTGATCTGGGCGAGGTGTTGGGAGTGGTGGTGGTGTGAGGAGAGGGTCGGAGGGGGTGCGCCGCATTGTGTCGCCCTGGGCTGCACATGGCCATCCCTTGGCCTGTCTCCATGCAGCGCGGCGACAACAGCAATCAGGAGGAGGAGTTGGGGGAGGGAGTCGCCCACCTTCGACATCCAGTACACCCACCTTGAGCCGATCCCCCTTCCAGTCGATCATGTACCGCGCCTCTGGCTCCTCGACGCCAGCGGGCGGGGGCGCGGCCGGGGCGCTGCCACCCGCGCCATCCCGCAGCCCGCTGAGCAGGATCCCCCCCTTGGTAGCCTCCAGTATCTCCTGGCTCTGAACAGGCGTCTCCCGGTACACGTGCCAAACGGGGGAGCCATGGACGATCGTGTGGGCCAGCCTTTCGCCCCACGCCCTGTGCTGATCGGCCGGGATGGAGGCCCAGAGGCTCTCCAGGGCCGCCATATCAGGCATGTCCAGCTCCAGCTGACGGGAGGAAGGGAGGGAAGAGGTGGGGGTTGGGTGTTGGAGGAACTTGGTGGGAGGAGCATCAGGCACAGCAGGGGCTCGAAGGTGCAGCAAGGGAGGGCAACAGGTTTCCAGAGGCCAAGCGTTGCACCGCACCCACTCCTGATCAGTGCTCCTGACGGCTCTAGAGTCCCCAGCGCTGTCTTGCCAACCCCCCTCCCCCCATGCGTGAGATACCAAGTCCGCACCTTGCCCTACCTCTATCCTGCTCTCCGGGACGCCCACCGCCCCAGAAAGGATGCGGGCGTCGGATAAGCGCAGGCCAGCCTCCTGCCCAATCGTCAGGATCCATTCCTGGATGTGGGCCAGCGCCTCCTGCTTCGACCCGTACCTTGTAGGAGGGGAGGTATGGGCGCTATGGCCATGGCATGCTGGCATGAACAGGCAGAGAGGCATCAGTCTTGGTGCAGAGGACGAGCAGGAGCGGCAGCAATCCCTTGCCATCAAGATCTGATGACTCCATTAAACATCAGTACCGGGTCTTACTTGACATCGAACAACCAGCGCGCGCGCAGGCCGCAGACTGGCAACACTGGGCGAGGTCGAGGCCGTCTCAGGCCACGCAGCGGTGAAAGGGGCTGCTTGCAAGAGATACAATGCCCCTGGGCATGCAACACAGGCATTGCGGCCTTTATGTCGTGAATAAGTTGAGGTAGACTGGTGCTATGTGGCGATCAAGTGCACGACTGCTTGCATGCCATGTGGATTGCTAGGAGCACGGGTTTTAAAACCAGCATCAAGAGACTGCCAGGGACATATGCAGAAAACTGGCCAATGGTGCACCCCACAATCCTCGGTGTACTCTCTGAATGTCCCTTTTGTGTTTGCAAGGCATGCAGAGACCGGGGCGGGGATTCATCTTATGACCGACTGCACAATGGGGCCATCGCATGGCCTGACGCCCCAGTCTTTCGTCTCGATCAATCGGATTGCCTGCCCTCCAGACATGATGTATGTTGAAGTTATACTAGATAGAAACCGCTATCGAACGACCGTCCCTGTGCACCTGAATACTAGAATGTCCAGCAGCCACCGACGCAAAAGGGGAAGACTCAGGGTTGTGGAGCCCAAACAGAAAAATCTGCATCTTCATGGCAGAGCAGCGTAGGATCCTCCAGGGTTACCCTTTCTGAGTGACCCAGAGACTCCTCAGCATCTGTCTCTGTCTCCACACTGTCTGTATCAACACCTTGTACTTGGCAGTGATTCTGAACTATTTTATAGAATACACAATGTTCCATCCAAGGACGGCAGGCCTGCCAGCATGAGACACTTGACGGTCAGAAAACAAGATGAGTTATTCAAAACATCTAGAAAATGGCAGTCAGACCGTTGCTTTCCATATTTTTCCAAGGGTGGTAGTGCTGCAAAATGGCTTTGCTTGGAGCCTTAACGGCACAAGCTTTGGGATGGCGGTGGCCAGCTTTGCTCCAGCTTGATAGGAGAGCTCTTTCTAGGTAGCAGTGGCTGCGAGCTTGCGAAAGGAGGCAGATGTTGCTTTTTTGCCTGGCGTACGCGATGGCGTTTTTGACAGTGACAGCGGTGGCTTTTTGGATTGGGGAAGTGAGCTTTTTCTTCGTGGAGGAGGCGACCTCCTTGCTGTGGGTGTTGGTGCAGTCCTCTTGGTGAGCTTGGAAGACATCTTGGATACTGGTTGCCGGGTGATCTTTGTTGTGGGAGGTGATGCCTTTTTTGACGTGGAAGGCGCTGGTTTCCTTGTTGAGGGAGACGCATGCATCTTTTGTGCACAAGGTGGGGATTTTTTGGCTGAAAGGATTGGAACCTTCTTCGAGGGAGGGGGGCACGTTTTCCTCGAAGGTGATGCTGGGGGTATCATTGATCGAGGGGATGGGACCTTTCGTGGTGGAAGAGGTGATGCCTTCATTGGTTGAGGAGATGGGGCCTTGTGTGATGCAAGGCTCGTGGACTTCCTCGGTGGAGGGGGTGGAGACTCTGTTGGCAGAGGTGGCGGGGACTTCTTTGGCGGAGCGGGTGGGGATTCTGTGGGCGGAGGAGGGTGCAGACTTCATCGGTGAAGGAGGCGGTGGCAAAATGAATGGAGGGGGGGGTAATTCAGTAGGAGGAGGGCTGAGAAACTTCTTTGGCGGAGGTGGTGGAGACTCTGTCGGCAGAGGTGGCGGGGACTTCTTCGGTGGAGGTGGTGGGGACGTCATTGGCGGAGGTGGTGGAGACTCTGTCGGCAGAGGTGGCGGGGACTTCTTTGGTGGAGGTGGTGGGGACGTCATTGGCGGAGGTGGTGGAGACTCTGTCGGCGGCCTGCCAGCATGAGACACTTGACGGTCAGAAAACAAGATGAGTTATTCAAAACATCTAGAAAATGGCAGTCAGACCGTTGCTTTCCATATTTTTCCAAGGGTGGTAGTGCTGCAAAATGGCTTTGCTTGGAGCCTTAACGGCACAAGCTTTGGGATAGCGGTGGCCAGCTTTGCTCCAGCTTGATAGGAGAGCTCTTTCTAGGTAGCAGTGGCTGCGAGCTTGCGAAAGGAGGCAGATGTTGCTTTTTTGCCTGGCGTACGCGATGGCGTTTTTGACAGTGACAGCGGTGGCTTTTTGGATTGGGGAAGTGAGCTTTTTCTTCGTGGAGGAGGCGACCTCCTTGCTGTGGGTGTTGGTGCAGTCCTCTTGGTGAGCTTGGAAGACATCTTGGATACTGGTTGCCGGGTGATCTTTGTTGTGGGAGGTGATGCCTTTTTTGACGTGGAAGGCGCTGGTTTCCTTGTTGAGGGAGACGCATGCATCTTTTGTGCACAAGGTGGGGATTTTTTGGCTGAAAGGATTGGAACCTTCTTCGAGGGAGGGGGGCACGTTTTCCTCGAAGGTGATGCTGGGGGTATCATTGATCGAGGGGATGGGACCTTTCGTGGTGGAAGAGGTGATGCCTTCATTGGTTGAGGAGATGGGGCCTTTTGTGATGCAAGGCTCGTGGACTTCCTCGGTGGAGGGGGTGGAGACTCTGTTGGCAGAGGTGGCGGGGACTTCTTTGGCGGAGCGGGTGGGGATTCTGTGGGCGGAGAGGGTGCAGACTTCATCGGTGAAGGAGGCGGTGGCAAAATGAATGGAGGGGGGGGTAATTCAGTAGGAGGAGGGCTGAGAAACTTCTTTGGCGGAGGTGGGTGGAGACTCTGTCGGCAGAGGTGGCGGGGACTTCTTTGGTGGAGGTGGTGGGGACGTCATTGGCGGAGGTGGTGGAGACTCTGTCGGCGGAGGTGGCGGGGACTTCTTTGGTGGAGGTGGTGGGGACATCATTGGCGGAGGTGGTGGAGACTCCGTCGGCGGAGGTGGTGGAGACTTCATTGGCGGAGGGGGTGGGGATTCTGTGGGCGGAGGGGGTGAAGACTTCATCGGTGAAGGAGGCGGTGGCAACATGAATGGAGGGGGGGTGGACTCAGTAGGCGGAGGGCTGAGAGACTTCTTGGGTGGAGGAGGTGGTGATTCGGTGGGCGGAGGGGGTGGGAACTCAGTCGATGAAAAATATGGCGACATCAGTGGTGGGATCTGTTCGTGTGAGGTAGGTATTGGCTTTCTCAATGGAGAGGAAGGTGCCTGCTGTGCCAAGGGAGGTGGTGACTCTGGGGATGGGAAAGGGTCTGTCTGATTTGATGGTGGAAGGGGAGATGATGGATGGCCTGATGGTGGTGGACTTGTGTATGCAGGTGGAAGTCTGTGGCTGGAGTTGGCAGGAGGGAGAAGGTCTGGCAAGGATGGCTGTCGCAGGGACAGTGGGGCAATGGTGAGCGGTGAATTAGGTGTCTGTACATGAGAGGGTGGAGTTGGTGGCGCCCGGACATCCAGGATGACGGTCTCTGTTGTCTTGAGATTCGACAGCTGGCACACTTGGTTCCCTGACAGGTTGTTGCACACGAAGTTGTCGCCGGTGTTGTTATTACCGATATTATAATTGCCTCTGTTCCCATTCCCTGCACATGAGAGGCGATGGACATGGCTCAGAGAGATGCAATCTCGGAAGATGTTCATCGTGTCCTTGACCGCACCACTCACCCCGGTTCTTGATGCCTGTGTTGTTGTTGCCCCAGTTGACGCCTCCCTGGTTGCCTGTGCCCATTCCATCCACCGACGTCCAGAGTTTGGCGCACGACTTCACCCCGCGAGGAAGGCACTCGATGAAATGGTAGAAGTAGCATGGCTCGTCGTTTGTGGGGGTGCAAATCTTGGACATTCCGGGCAGGTACGTGCTGATGGGGAATGGGAAGGGCTTTCCTGGTCTGAGCTGTGGCTCATTCTCAAATCTCCTGGGCAAGGAGTACCCCATCTTGTAATATCCATGGTGCCTGGGAAAGGGAGAGTGGGGTTTGGGTGTTGAGGGTCATCATCAGATCCAGATGATGCTAGGGTCATATACACCCAGTGCATGTGATTGCGCAGGCATTGTTCCCAGTAAGGGTCGTGAACCAGTCACACCGCACCGCTGATGTATACCTATGGCAAGCAGCCCGACTTACCGGCAGAAGGAGCCTTGGTCTACACGACTGACCAAGTACAGGGTGCCTCCAACCCTGCAGGGGAATAGGACGACCTCCTTTGACGCCATGCAACAAGAGGTCATCGACGAGGTGCCCTGCATTGGGTGCAACAACATGGGAAAGAACATCTCAGCCAAGATGAAGAACTTACTCAATCGTGGGAAGGCTGAACATTCCGATTCTGGGATCACAGTCGGCCTACAGTGGGAACTGAGGTGGTGTCAGTGCATCCTCCGAGCTGGGAATCAGCTTGTCATCGAAGCCATGTTGTGCGTTTTTTGCTTGTTCCGTAGAAATGAGACTTACTTGAGCGACAGGGGATGCAGCAAGTACGATGAGCAATACCAAGTGCACTAAAAGCAGAGCAACCGGTCGCGACATCGGCGTCGTTGGGATGCACGCCGTGGGAGCTGGCTTACTTTGGATTAAAGGGTTATCAAGCTCAGCTTCGATGTGACAGAAAATCTTCATTGGGAACGGCTACACGACATGTTCTCCGTGGCATCTCAAGCAGGACTTTGCGGAAAGACCGCGGCGCGGGACCCACACCTGGCGGAACATATGCCCGTGGCTCAACCACCACATCCGATCACCACGGACGTCATTCCCGATCCGCAGCGCCTTTGTACCTTACAGATCTGAAGCTACTAAGATTCTAGAGTATGTTGAGTGTGAGCGGTAAATTCTCTCAGGGTTGTGGGTAATGCAAATTACATCCATTTCGATTCTCTCGCTCGCCATGCGGCAGGTGGCACCGGACCACGACCGGATCGACGTGCGGCGTATGCGGCGTATGCTTCGGGCGAGCCGAAGATATGCCGCTACCGGGCTTGCGCCGGTTGCACAGCTGCTTCCCGCAAGCGGGATCTGACTGGCGCAGTTGGTTGCCTCGATCGGCGAACCAGGGGCGGGGGGGTGGGAGGAAAGGAAGGGGAAGCAGGGGGTCCACCAAAAGCTGTGGGACGAAGTGCATTCGCAAAAAAGCACTTAGTCAGCATCAGCATGTTGGCCGCTCCGTTCACGTCGCGGTTGACGACGTTGACCTTGCAGCCCTTGTTCGTGCACCGCTTTGTGTCCCACAGTTCCGTCCACGACACCCCGCATCACTCCTACTGTACCAAACCCCCTCCTAAAACCCCCCCTTTTCCCGCAGGTGCCCGACCCACAAGACAGCTAGCACCGAGGTGCTGCTGTCGCGGGTCGTAAAGATCGTCCCAGACCTGCGAGAGGGCCTGGCCTGGCACAGGGACGGGAAGCCGTTCCGCAAGCTCCGGCACCAGGCCTAAGTCGGCAGGGAGCGGGCCATCACCCGGCTGGCGGAGCAGTTCCGCGCTCCCCCTGGCACGACTACAATTGTCGGCGTGGGCAACTGGTCGGCCCAGGACAGAGGGGGTACCATGCGGGGGCCCCCGCCGGGGCCCTGGATACGCTTCTTGCGGCGCCTGCGGCGGGTGTGCAGGGTGGTGGTGGTTGACGAGCACAGGTCATCAAAGCTGTGTTGCGCCTGTCACGCCACCCTGCACGCCCACCAGTACGTGCGGGTCCGCAATGGTGAGGAGAAGCTGATGGACGTGTGGGACACGAAGCGGTGCACGAACAAGGCCTACAAGGTCAACGTCGTGAACCGCGACGTCAACGGAGCGGCCAACATCCTGATGCTAGCCAAGTGCTTTTTTGAGAATGCACTTCGTCCCACTGCATTTGGTGGACCCCCTGCTTCCCCTTCTCCCGCCCTCCCACCCCCTCTGGTTCGCCATTAGAGGCAACCAACTGCGCCAGTCAGATCCCGCTTGCGGGAAGCAGCTGTGCAACCGGCGCAAGCCCGGTAGCGGCATATCTTCGGCTCGTGCGAAGCATACGCCGCCCACGTCCTCTGCATTACATTTTCGCTTTGCCGGATAGATATCACTGTTATTGATCGCGTCAAGCTCTAGCCTAATCGTTTACGGGGCAAACCGTGAACCCCTGCACCCACCACGCGCGCCATCCGCAAGAAGATCCGTCAGCCAGCAGCTGGCCGATCACCGCATGTCAACATCGAATTCACATCCCTCGATGGCTTGCCAGGCAGGGGCCGGGCTGCAGGCCAGAGATCGGAGCGGGCTGGCGAGTGCTAGCGGGTGGGGTTTTACAGCCAGGTGAGCTCGTGTCGCGCTTTGCTGGAAGCACCATGGATTTCCAACTGGGATGTTATTTCCTGTCATGCTGTTGAAGAGTGAATAGTATCCGCTCGTCCGTGTCTGCGTGCGGTCGGTGCACGCACGTTGGCAGGTATGATGGGGAGGAGGGCTTCTCTGCCATCCTACCCTCAACCATATGCAGGGCCCCCGGTCTGACACGGCACAGCTACCACGCAAAAGGTGGGCCCCTGATCTTGTGTGTGAAGACTGGTGATCAAGGCCAGGAGTGCTGCTGGGCGGTGAATCCACCAGCTCACATGCACAGCATCCGTTGTGACCCGTCTACCGTGCGTGCCCTGGCCCCATCTTGCAACCCCTACACCCCCTCTCAAACCACCCCAGTCCAGACCCCTGGACGCTCCCTCGGCGGGCATGCCCGGCCAGGCCCGGGATCCCACTGCCGTGCCCCCGCGGCGGCGGCGGCCGCCACCGACGTCCCCCCTACCGCCGACGCGCAACGCAGCGAGCGCACGTTTGACATCCCCGGCGCCCGCGTGCGCGTGGAGGTGGTGACTCGGGCGCCCTGCGGCACCCAGGCCATCACCGTGGCCACCGACAAGCCCGGCAGCCTGCTGCTGCACTGGGGCGTGGAGGGTGGCGCAGGGTACGAGGGAGGCTGGCGCCTGCCCGGCCCCGGCGCCCGCCCGCCGCGCACGGTGCAGTACAAGCAGCGCGCGCTGCAGACGCGGTTCTCGCCCGCCGCCGACGGCGGGCAGGCCGTGTCGATTGAGCTGCCCGGTCCCGAGGCCTCCGACCGCCTGAACTTTGTGATCAAGAACGAGGGCATGGGGGAGTGGTACGACCTCAACGGCGCCAACTTCCAGGTGCAGCTGCGCGACGGCGGGGGGGGTGGCGCGGCCGCGCCCGCCGGCGACGTCCGCCCCGCCCTCCTCCCCGCCGACGCGGTGCCCAACCTGCCCCAGGAGCTGTGCGGCGTCTGGGCCTACCTGGCCTGGGAACGCGCCGGCTGCCCCGCGCGGAGCGGCGCCGAGGCCGACGCCGAGTACGACGCCGGCGTGGCCGAGCTGGTCCTGCTCCTGCGCCGCGGCGTCGGCCTGGACGAGCTGTGGGCCGTGGCCCGGGGTCAAGTGCCCTGGGCCCAGTTCCAGGCCGCGCTGGGTGGGGCAGTGAGCGGGGAGGACGCGGCGGCGGGGCGAGCCGAGGGGGCCCCGTCGCCGCCGGCGCCGGCGCCGCCTGCGCCCGCCGTGCCCGAACACCTGGTGGGCACCCAGGCGTACCTCCTCTGGGAGGCCGCAGGCAAGCCGGACGGCGCGGACTTTGGCGCCGACGCGCGGCGCGTGCTGCGCGAGCAGCTGGCCGCGGGCAGGTCGGTGCAGGAGCTGGAGCACGCGCTGGGTGCATCCCCGCCAGAGGCCTCGCAAACGGCCTCGCAGACGGGCGCACCGCCGGCGTCAGCGCCAGCGCCAGCGCAAACTTCGGAGGAGTCGGGCCTGGGCGCCTCGCGCGGAATGCGCAGCGTGGACCCCCTGGACCTGATCAAGCGCCCCGCGGCCGCACCGCTGCTGGCCGATGCGCGGCCCGGTGCCCAAGACTCGCCCCTGGCGCCCCTGGTCCGCGCGGCCGGGGAGGACGACGCAGTCTGCTGGCACAGGGTGAGTTTGTTTTGTGTGGGGGGATGGACTGAAGCGGTCCAGGGGTCTGTTTGTTGGTGGTCAAGCGAATGAGAGGGGCAGAATAGTGGGGCGGAGGACCTTCCCAGGTGCTGTTGGGCTCTTCAGAGCGCAGCTGATCCCCGCGTGCCGACGCCCGCCGCCACGCCAACGTCGCGCTCTGAGCCCCCTCTCCCCTCCGCGCACACATGTATACCTCGTCAGTCGCTGCCACCCCTCACACCTGCCCCCTCCCCCCCCCCCACTGCTCATCTCCTTCTCGGCAGACCTTCAACCTGGGGGATGGCGCGCAGCTGCTGGCCACGGTGCGGCGCCTCGGCGACCCCCATGCGCCCGCGGATGACTCACCAGAGCTGATGGTCGAGCTGGTCAGCGACGCGCCCGATGCGCTGGTCCTGCACTGGGGTGTGCGCGCGCGGGACGACGGCGCGGCCTGGCTGCCGCCCCCGCCGGGGCTGGCGGCGGGCGCGGGCGCGGGCCTGCTGGCCGGCGGCGAGGCCGCCGAGCTGGCCTTTGAGGGCGGCGCCGCGCAGGGCAGCGTGCTCAGCATGGACGGCGAAGAGCTGCCGCTGCAGCGCGCGCGCGTGCCCGTCCCCGTCGACGCCGACCTTGCGGCGCTGGCCTTCGTCCTGCGCTCCCGCGATGGCAGCCGCTGGTGGCGCGACGGCGGCGGCGACTTCCGCGTGCCCCTGCCCACGGGAGACGGCGGCGGCGCGGGAGAGGGCGCCCCGGACGCCGCCTCGGGGAATCCGCTGTTGCAGGACTCGGTGGCCCGCGCCATAGTGGAGGCGGAGGCCACGCCCGCCTGGACCCTGATGCACCGCTTCAACCGCGCCTCGGACCTGCTGGAGCAGGTCGCGGCCGGCGGGGTTGAGGACGTGGAGGGGAGCCTGGCCCGCATCTACGTCTGGCTGCGCTACTCCTCCATCCGCCAGCTGACCTGGCAGCGCAACTACAATACCCAGCCCCGCATCCTGGGCGCCGCGCAGGAGAGGCTGACCCACACCATCGCCAAGGTGATTGAGAGGGGTGGAGTGTTTTGTGTGCAAGGGGGAGAAAGGGGGAGGGGCTGGTGTGGGGTTGGGGTTCGCAGTAGGTGAGAGGGTCAAGAGGGTCTGCAGTGTGACGGGCACGAGGGAGTAGTCTTTGGCCAGGCCTGCGCAGGTGTTTGTCACGTCGTGAGAAGTACGGGAAGTGCACCCTCTAGTGTACCTGAGAGGAGAAGGATGAGGTCTTTGACTTTTCCACTGGGTCAGGATGCGAGGCTGACTGCAGGCACCGGCTGTCAGATCACTGTGGACCTCCTCTGCTTGGTGGAGCGCCCACCCCATCAGACATCCAACTCCCTCTCTCCCTCCCAACACCTGGCAGGTCTACTCCAAGACGAGCGGGATGTCCCAGGAGTGGGCGCGCCTGCTTTTGACCACGGTGGGCCGGGGCGGCAACGCCCAGGCTGTGCGCGACGACATCCTGCACATCATGCACCGCAACCACGTGAGCAGTGCTTTTGGGGTGGTGGTGGGTTGAGGAGGGGTAGAATAGAAAGGGTGGGGGCAATCGGAGGGGAAGTGAGATGAGTTGCCCGGCTTGGGGGTGACTTCTCAGGGGCTGGGTATAACTGGGTGCCTGTTGGGGTCTGCAGGGTCGGCAGCAGGATCGCTGCTGCCCCATCGTGTCACTGTCTCCCCTTCGACACGCCCTCTTCGCCCTGCGCGCAGATCCCCGAGAAGGGCGGCACGTGGATGGAGCAGTGGCACCAGAAGCTGCACAACAGTGAGGGGGCTTGGGGATTGTAATATGGGTAGCGAGGGGCTGACAACCTGAGTGATCACTTCATGTGCGCATGCCTCCCCACTTCACATGCCTGCCCATCCACTCCCGCCCACCCCAACACACCTCGCCAGACACCACGCCCGACGACGTGCCCATCTGCGAGGCGTACCTCGCCTTCCTCGAGTCCGGCGGCGACCAGGGTGAGCTGGTGTGGCGAGGGTGGCATGGAGTTTACCATACGAATCTCAGGACGGTGCAGGGCTGGCGACGTTCCTGGCACGCGCCCCTGGCGCCAGCAGCATGTCAACACCCGTCACATGACGGAGCGATCAGGTTCTGACATGACACCCACCCTCCCACTGTCAAACCACCCTCCAGGCACCTACTGGCGCGTGCTGGCGGACGCCGGAGTCACGCGCCAGCGCCTGGAGTCCTTTGATCGCCCCATCACTGTCGACCCGCAGTTCTTCGGCGACCGGCGCGACGCGCTGCTGGCCGACTTCCGCGCCTATCTCAAGGTCCTCAAGGCGGTGCACTCCGGTGCGGACTTGCAGGCCAGCGCCAGCGCGGCCGCGCGCATCGTGCCCGCCGCGGCCAAGGCGCCGCTGGGCTACGCGCTGGCGCACGCCGGCACGGGAGGCTCGGCCCTGGCCTTGGTGGAGGCGGCGGTGGAGGCGCGCACCGAGCTGGCGGCGGGCGGGGCCCTGGCCTCGGGGCGCGAGGCGCTGTACCTGGACCTGGCGCTGGAGGCGACGGCGCGCGCCGGCGCGGAGCGCGGCGCGGGCGCGGCGGGGTCCGCCGCCGCGGCCCTGATCGCTCCCCTGCTCCAGAACCTGGCGCTGTCCGTGGCTGATAACGAGGAGGTGTGCCACTGCCTCAAGGCCTGGCTGGCGCTGCCGGCGGGCCTTCGCGGCGGCGGCCGCGCAGCCCGCGACGACGCGCTGCAGGCGACGGCGGTGCTGGACCGCGCCCGCCGCGCCGTGGCAGCGCTGTCCGACCGCGTCGTGACCACGCTGGGCCCGCTGGGCGCCGCGCTGGGCGCCGCCTTTGGCGCCGAGGACTGGACGGTGCGGCTGTTCGCGGAGGAGGTGGTGCGCGCGGGCCCTGCCTTTGCGCTGTCCCTGGCGCTGTCGGCCGCGGAGCCTGGCCTGCGCGCCGCCGCGGAGCTGGGCGCCTGGCAGCTGGTGTCCCCCGGCGCGGCGCGCGGCGAGCTGGTCGCCGTGCCCTCGCTGCGCGAGGTGCAGGACCGCGCTTTCCCCCGCCCCACCGTGCTCCTGGCCTGGGAGGTGACGGGGGAGGAGGAGGTCCCCGCCGGGGTCGTGGCCCTGCTGTCCCCCGACGCCCCGGACGTGCTGTCCCACCTGGCCGTGCGCGCTCGCAACCTGGCCGTGCTCTTCGCCGCCTGCCACGACGCCGCGCCGCTGCGCGAGCTGGAGGCCCTGGAGGGCCGGGTGCTGGAGCTGGACAGCACGGCCGCGGGGGCGGTGACCTGGCAGGAGGCCGACGAGGAGGAGGTGGAGGGGGGCGGGGGGAGGGCCACACCGGCGGGTGTGGCCGCGGGGACCAAGAAGCTCACCCGCCCCACCACGCCCAAGTGAGTCGACTGGGAGCCTAGGACATGTTGTTTGGGGGAGGGGGCGTTCGTGCTGATTGCAGGAAGGGGGTGGGTTTTCGAGGAATTGGAGCGCGGGAGGGCGCGGCGATGCTTTGGATGGTATGCAGGGTGCCCATGACCTTGTCAAGCTGGCCTCTGGGGCTGCATTGCATACCAGGAAGCACACCCATGGCGCTCATACTACCTGGGTGCCAGATACCCCACATTCAACTCTGAACTTCCCACTTCCCCCCTCAGGTGGTGCGGCAAGTGGGTGCTGGGCATGGACGAGTTTAAGCAGGGGGTGGTGGGTGCCAAGAGCAACAACCTTGCGGGGCTGAGGGGGCGGCTGCCCGAGAGCATTCAGCTCCCCGCCTCTGTGACGGTGGGTGCGACGCAGGGGGTCTTGTGCCTGGCGGAGAATGTTTCCGTAAGAGTGGGGGTGCTGATGGCTGGGGCCTTGCATCACTGACCTGGGGCAGGGGGGTGTGCAGTCCAGTGTCCTTACCCGGCCTCTGGGGCTTCAAATCAGACAGCCCTTGGTGCTGGGGTCTGGGTGGTTGAAACTGATCACTGGAATGTGGAAGTGTTCGTCCTCCCCCTTCCATTTGTGGGTGTGCGATCGATCTATGATTGCCTTCCCCCCCCCCCCTCCCCTGATCTTACTCACAGATCCCGTTTGGGTCCTTTGAAAAAGCGCTGGAGAGCCGGGAGAATAGGGAGCTGGCCAAGCAGATCCGCGCCGCAGTGTCCTCGGTCACCCCCCACAGCCCTGGCCCGGCCCTGGCGCGGTGCCGCGACCTGGTGAACCAGGTCGCCGTGCCCTCCGCCCTGCGCAAGGAGCTGGAGGCGGGCATGCGCGCCGCGGGCATCCCCGTGCCGCAGAACGAGGAGCGGTGGGAGGCCGCCCTGTGCGCGCTCAAGGTGGAGTATTGGTTGGATGGAAGGGAGTGTGGACCTGGGGAAAGAAGAGTGATCGTCATGTGGGACACCCCTCCAGAGTCACCCCTCCCAAACCCACCCCCTCCTCCCAAACCGGCAAACCCAACAGGCGGTGTGGGCGTCCAAGTACAACGACCGCGCCTTCTACTCCTGCCGCAAGGTGGGCCTCCGCTTCGACGACGTGCGCATGGCGGTGCTGTGCCAGCGCGTCGTCCCCGTGCGCTACGCCTTTGTCATCCACACCGCCAACCCCGTCTCCGGCGACGCCGACGAGATCTACGCCGAGCTGGTCATCGGCCTGGGGGAGGCCATCGTCTCCGGCGCCGTCCCCGGCAGCGCGCTGGCCTTCTCCGCGCGGAAGGATGCGCTGGACGCGCCGCGCGTCCTGCTCTACCCCAGCAAGTCGCGGGCGCTGGTGGTGGCTGACTCGCTCATCCTGCGCTCCGACTCCAATGGCGAGGACCTGGAGGGCTACGCCGGCGCAGGGCTGTACGAATCGGTCACCGTGGACGCGACGCGCAGCGTGGTGGCAGACTACAGCGCAGATGACCTGCTGATGGACCCCGGGTTCCGGCGCCGCCTCATGACCGACGTGTGCCGCGTGGGCCTGGAGATCGAGCAGGTAATGGAGTGTGGAGGGGTTGAGGGTAGGAGGGAGGGAATTGGAGTGGTGTGTGTGAGGTGATCTGATGGTTGACGAGGCGGTGAGCACCGTGTACTGAGGATGTAGGGAGGTGGAGAGGAGGGAGAGACGCCGCTGGGCCTGCGTCAGGATCTTGGGCCTTCCGCACCAGGATACCCTGCCCAAGCAAGCCTTTTCCCCCTCACCCCCCCGCCCAGGCCCTGGGTTCGGCTCAGGACATCGAGGGGGTGGTGGGCAAGGATGGTGCGATCACGGTCGTCCAGACCAGGCCCCAGGTCTAGGTCGGTTCCTGAATGAAGTAGTACCGCGCCAATGCCGGCTTTGTCGCTGGAGACCTTTTGCCATGCCCCGGACTCTACTTCAACCTGGACACCTGTAAACTCGAAAAGCTCGCAACCAGATGTGATGCCGTTCAATAGGAGGAGGAAAACAGCAGCACCAAGTCGGAGGGTAGTCCTTGACAATTCTGGGTTTGAGCACAGCACCTCACCCGCAGCCAAAACTGCTATATCCCAATAAATCACTTTCCGTCATCGGTTCCGGAGCTCGATTTCCGGCATGTCTCAAACTGCGAGAGGTACCAGGTTCGATTCCTGGATGGTCCAGCAATCGGATCACGGGCCATTAGCTCATATGGTAGAGCGCTCGCTTAGCATGACACTGTTTTCGTTTTTGCCGTTGTGGTCGGCATGAGACTGCAGCAGGACCGGCTACTCGCGACCCGGGGCTGAGTTTGCGGACCAACTCTTGGGATAGCCGGCCATACCTCTGTCAGTCAGTGTTACAGTCACGCTCCGTGCAAGGCCCTTGCTCCCTTCCTCCGTCAGCACCCCACGCACTCAGCCACGGGCTCGCTCGCTGTAGGCATGTGCCATGCGTCTTGCCACAGACTTGGCCAGCGCTGCCAGCGTGTCTGACGTTGCCACCTGCGACGGCGCATCAAACTGCCCCTGCTCCATCCAGGGGGACGGCAGCGGGGCTTCCCAGCTGACATGGGGTGACGTGTCCCCTCGCTGCTCGTTCTGCGGGCCTGCATCCTCGCCAGATGGCAACCCCACGTCATTGAGGAGAGGGGCGTCGCCCTCGTCGTCCAAAAAGGGGTCGCCGTCGCCATCGTTATCCATGAGCGGCAGGCTACCGTCACCGCCCCGCCCCAGCGGCAGGCGCTCCTCCAGGTGCCTGCAGGCCAGGCTGCAGCGCCACAGTGCGTCAGAGTCCAGGCACATCGAGTCCAGCGCCGCCCGGCCTTGGAGGTTGGGAGTGCGGGGACGATGCCGGAGTGAGAAGGCGGAGACTGGGAGGCATTCGCGGAGGTGCGAAGGTGGGCCGGCAGCATCCGGGGCGACAGCTCATCCCCCTGGAACCTTTGCTGACGGAGGACCATCGTCACTGCAGGCCCAGCTCACGGATGTTGCTTCGCGGATCTCCACCGCGCCTTGAACCCCTCTCACCGACACACACCCAACCCCTACATACTACACACCCCTGGGCTCACTGAGGTCCCGATGCTGGAGCAGGTGCTTGAGGAGCGTCAGCGCCTCGTGCGCAAGCGTGGCCCTGGCATCGGGTCCCCAGTCCACCGCCGGGCCCTCGCCAGCACCGCCATCTGCCCTGTCACCCGCCGGGCCCTCACCACCGCCACCATTTGCTGGCCGGGCGAGCACGGCGGCATGGACCACTCGGGCCAGCGCCGGCGCGGCCCCGGCGTGGACCAGCTGCGCGGCGGCTTCCGGGCGGGGCGGCCAGGCGACGAGGAGGGCGGCCAGCGCCCCCAGCGCATCCGCGATCAGTGGGGCGGGGCGGCCGCCGGGGTCTAAGCACGCGAGCCAGGCGGGGCCCAGGGGGTCTGACCCCGGCTGCGCCGCCTCGCCCGTGCCATCCTGGGTGCCGCCCGCCGAGCACCCCCAGCGCGGCGTCCAGTGCAGTGCCGAGCTCCGGGTCCAGCAGGGCGCGGCCGAGCAATGAGAGGGCTGCGGGCGCGGCGGCGCGTCCAGCCAGCATCCTCGCCAGCAGGCCCCCCGTCAGCAGCTCCGACAGGACCCTGGCGGGGCCTGCTCCCTGCCCCGCGGCCAGCGTGTGCTCGACCAGGGCGGCAAGGAAGGACGCGGCGGCCGCCAGCAGCGCCTCGGCGGGCGGCACACGCCGCGGGCTGGGAGCCTCGCCGGCCGGCGTTTCATCTGCATCGGCGGCGTCGGCGGCGTCGGCAACGGCGCTCACCCTCTCCGCCATCCCGGCGGCGGCCAGGCCTAGGCCGCTCAGACCCCCACGCAGGCTCGACCCGGCGCAGCTCGCGGCCGCGCGGAACTCGGGCAGGTGGAGGCCGGGGGGCCGAGTGCCGAGGTCCTCGACGCACGCCTCCAGGCCTCCAGCCTCCGGGTCGGCGGCGATCGGCGCGTTGCCGTCCAGCAGGTCCAGCACGACCGTGCCGACGGTCAGCATGGCCGCCAGCATGCGACAGCGCAGCGCGGCGGCGCGGGGGTGAGTCAGCGGGTGCGCGCAGGCTGCCGCGTCCGCGGCCGCCTGCGCCGCCAGCGCGCGCGCCGCGCCGGCGGCACAGCAGTCCAGCGCCGCGGCCGCGGGGCGGGCCAGCGCCACCGCGCGCGTCAGCGCCGCAGCCAGCGGCGCGTATTCGGCCGCGTCCACCGTGCGCGCACGGCGCACGAGCGCGGGGAGCCCAGGGGACGGCGGTGAGGCCGCGGCGCCGCCCCCGGAGACCAGCAGCTGCATGGCGGTGGGGCACAGCGTCCACAGCAGGCCGGGGACCTGGCCTGCCTGGGGTGAGGAAGACTCTGGATCTACGCACCCCTCACCGTCCTCCGCTGCCCAGGAGGTGTGCAGGGGTGGGTCGGGGAGACTGTTGGCCTTCCTCAGGCCACCTTCAACCTCACCGCGCCGTTTGGTGTCACCCGCTGGCCGCTCGCCGCCGCCGCCAGGGCAGCCGCGCGGCCGGCGCGCCGCAGAGGCCAGCTCCTCGCGCGCGGCCTCCAGCTGCAGGCGCAGGGATAACTCGGCCCGCCCCGCCTCGGCGGCGGCGGCCTCGGCGACGCGCACGCGCTCCGCGCGCTGCGCCTGGACCCTCTGCAGCTCCTCCGCCTGCTTGGGGAGGAAGCGAGGGTGGCGGAGGCCTGACATTCTCTTACATGCTACGGCCCCACCCGGGCGTCGTATCAGGTATGCACTAGACCGACCAATGCTGCGGCATCCCTCTGTATGCCCTTAAAACCCCCCTCGCTCAAGTCGCAGCAGCCCCACCTCCTGCGACTTGAAGGCCAGCTGCTGCCGCAGGGCATCTATCTGGCGCTGGAGCTCCATGGAGGCTGCGGCTGTCGCCACGTGGCCCGCGGGAATGGCGGGGGCCTGTGCAGCCGCCGCCGCCAGCGCAGACTGCTGCGCAGCCAGCTTGCGACTGTGTGAGCATGTGTGTGTGTTGTGGGCTTATTGGCGAGCCCGGATCGGTGTGCAGGATCGCATGGATGCCAGGCGCGGCCATCTTGTGCAGGGCTTGAAAGCAGGGCAGGTGCATGCATTCAAGCATAAGTACTCACCCCAGGTCGTCGCGCTCCCACTGGGCCCTCTCGAGGTCCGCCTGCAGGCGGCGGGCAGCCTCCTCGGCCGCCTGCAGCCGGCCTTGGAGCGGGTCGGGGACTGCATGTGCCGCTGCATGCGACTGGGCTGTGGGCGAGTCTTCACGGGCGGGGTGCCGGGGCTTGGGAGGCGGGCTCCTCACCAGGGGGAGCTCGGCGCGAGCCCCTGAGGGACTCACTGCCTGAGAGACCTGGCTCTGAGGGTTGGGAAGGCGGATCATGAGTAATTCAGGAGTACGGCTGCCCCCTCCGGATCGGAGGACTGACCTTTCTTAGACCACAACAGAGAGCACTGCCGCCCGGCGAGTCACAGGGCCACCCGACCCCACCTCCTGCCCCTGCTCACCCTGGAGTGATGGTGCGCCTCCACCAAGCGATCGATGGTCGAAAAGAAGGCGTCATCGAAGTCGATGCCGTCGTCCTCCTCCATCCCAGGCCGCTCATCACCATCTCATGCATGGCCCTGGCTCGGCATGAGGTCCGCTGGCGGTGCGCCTGGGCGCCACTCCATGAGGTCCCAGTTTCATTGCCAGATCAGTACGTGCACCTCATCATGTTGACAGGGCGATGCCAGGGCCGTACGCTCGTGTCCCGCTGTGCCGGATCGATAACGAGAGGGCGAGGGGCCGCGACTTGTCAGCAAAGAATGCATTGGAATATTCTTGTTTCCCTACCGGGCTTGCGCCCGTTGCTAGCAGCTTCTTCCCGCAACGGGATTTCGCTGGCGCACTTTGTTGCCTCAAATGGCGAACCAAGGGGGGGGCGAGGGGAATGGAAGGGGAAGCAGGGGGCCACCAAAAGCTGTTGGACGTGGTGCATTCTCACAAAAGCACTTGACCAGCATGAGCAGGTTGGCAGCTCCATTCACGTCGCGATTGACAATGTTGACCTTGCAGGCCTTGTTGACGCACCGCTTCGTGTCCCACAACTCCGTCCACGTCTCCACGCCATCGCAGACCCGCACGTACTGGTGGGCATGTAGGTGGGTGTGACAACCGCAGCACAGTTTGGAAGTCCTGTGCTCGTCGATCACTACCACCCTGCACACCCGCCGCAGGCGCCGCAAGAAGCGTATCCAGGGTCCTGGCGGAGGGTCCCGCATGATGCCCCCACGGTCCTGGGCCGACCAGTTGCCCACGCCGACGATGGTAGTCATGGCGGGGGGGGGGGGGGGCGGGGGGGGGCGGGACGCCCGAGCCCTTCGGCGTGGCCGGCTTCACCTCCACGCGCTTTCCTCGCAGCTCGTGCATGGCGCCGGCCGCAAAAACTCGCTCGGCGGAGACATCCTCCGCAAAGGTCACGAAGCTGAGAGGGGGAATGTGAGATGGGCTCCAGGTGAGAGCGCATGATGCACAGGAATGGACAGCGGCAGGGATCTGACTGAAGACTTCGAGTCAGGGCTGCGCCGCTAACATGATGAACATCCACAATCCAGCATGCAAGCATCCAGTGGCAGCACAAGGGGATTGTTCCTGTGACTCATTCATGACATTCAGGACGTGATGTGCTTACTTGACCGCATACAGGCAGTGCCCCAACCAGTATGACACACCGGAAAAACACTCACCCGAAGCCGCGTGACCGTCCACTCATGTGATCTTGCATGATCTGGGCTTCCACGACCTCCCCAAACTGCTCAAAGTAGATCTTGAAGGCCTCTGTGGTACAATGCACGGATTGTCAAGCTGAGAGCGCTGATAGTGGCGCGGCAACGAGAGAAGCAGGCGGGTAAGCCACCATTTCTGGCCGATGCTAATGTCAGGGACACAAGGTACTCGGCTTGCCAGGATGTATCCCATACACAGGATTGAGACAAAGCAGCCAGGTCCCTCTTGTGATGCAATTGCCAGCTGCACAGCCCAGATCTCCACTCAAAAAGCCCAGATCACCTTCAGTGGTCTCTGGTGCAAGCCCACCGACAAAGATCTTGCGTGCCTTGGGCTTCTGCTCCAAGGGTACCGACTTCTTGGCATCGATCTGTATGTATGGTTTGGTGATGACCCTGGTGTGGAGTGCAGGTCATGACCAAGGTCGTAGCTGCAGCAGGGCTCCTCAGCCTACTCCTACCACACTCCTCCCCAGTCCCCCAAAATCTGCACCCCCCTCACCTGTCGCCCATCCACGACGTGGGTCTCCTGGACGACAGCATCTGCGACCTCCGACTTCTCAAAGGTCACGAAACCAAACCCACGAGGGCGGGAAGTTTGTCGATCACGCATGACCACCTGCGGGAGTGCGTGGACGGGCAGGGGCGGAACTGCTCCGCCAGCCGGTTGATGGCCCGCTCCCTGCCGACGTAGGCCTGGTGCTGCAGCTTCCAGGACGGCTTCCCGTGCATGTGCCAGGCCAGGCCCCGTCGCAGGTTAGGGAGGATCCATGCGACCTGCGACAGAAGCACCTCTGTGCTGGCTGTCTTATGGGTCGGGCACCTGCGGGAAGAGGGGGGGTTTGAGGAGGGGGTTTGGTACAGTTGGAGCGATGTGAGATGTCGTGACACAGTGCCCGCCCCTGTGGGGCCTGTCCCTGCACACACTCCTCAAACCAAACACCACCCACTTGTGCAACTCCTTGACAAAGTCTGGGGCCTCGGCGTGACTCTTCGCGATGGTCTTTTGCCGCCGCTTGAATCCCGACATGGAGTGAAACTCCTTAGAGGAGCAGGATGTCACATTAGCGTGTTCATACACCGCAGCGAACATCTTGGTGCGCCCCGGGTCGATGCCGACGTACTTGTCTATCCTAGCATCCTCTGGAGGGGGCAGGGTGTCACTGTCGCGGCCAGAGTGCGGGAAGGCATGGAAGAAGATGAGGGACTTCCCTGGCTCCCGCCTCACATGCTTGATGGAGAAGTGGTGCTCGCAGCTGGTCTTGTGAGAGCTGTGGCGAGCTTTGCTGCCCTTCCCCTCTCGCTGGCTGGCGACGTCCTTCCCCACCCTTCCCCACCCACTCGGGTGTGCCCGGGCCACGGACGCACGTGAAGTGCTTGTTGGAAATCCAGTCCTGTGGGTGTCAAGGAGCTCGAGTGAATGCGAGGACTAGAACCGAGTGGGGAAGGTCTCAGAGCGGGCATCAGTTGAATGACATTCCAACTTCGGACCTTGGTGGCAGGACAGGCTGTCGCCAGGTAGTTGGGAGGATCTCTTCCGGGATTTCGTAACTTCATTTCAAATGGAAACGGTGGCGAGAGAAGGGGTACTCTTTCAAATCCACTCCACACGAAATTTTAGACTGCGATGTAACACTGCTTGCAACATCTCAATGGATCTGCATAATAAGCACACGATTGAAGAAAAGTGCCCAGGAGGGGCGGTGCAAAAGGGAAACGGCTCGCATGCATGCAGTAATAAAGTAAGAAAAGAACACAGTTTTGGTAGGAGCATGTGGCATGGTGAGGTATCCAAGAAATGCAGACCGTCATCAGGAAATCGTGCAGGCGTTCACTCGCCACGCTCCTCGCCAGCCATGCAGCAGGGTCTCCTCTCCAGCCCAGGGGCGACCGGAACTTCCCCGCTGCCGGTGATAGCCATCCGCAGCGCCCTAAGCGCAGAGAGTTGCCTGCAGATTGACCATGGGGGGGCCAACTCAAAATGGGTGGGCGTCGGCACGCCCGTCATGCCTTGAAGGCAAGAGTGAGACCCCAGGGAGAGACCCGGGCTAGGCATCCTTGTGGATACAACAACTCCCAGGAGAGAGTCACCGCATCCTCTTATACAGGAACCGAACCTGCCACAGTTCTGGACCGCCTCACCTCACTGGCGCCCATGTGCCGTTGGACCATGCCAGATAGACCTCCCTCTTCGACAGGGTGCGGGGTGGGGAGTAGTGCAGGACCCATTGGTAACACTCCCCCGTCACGACGCTGATGTGGATGCCGAAACGACTGCAAAGAGCGCGCAGTGTGAGCTCGTCGCCGGCCGTCGTAGGCAGCGCCATGCGGCTGCGCAGGCAGAGGGGAGGCGGGGACTCGCTGGGCGGCGCTGTGGCGCGGCGCGCCTCACTGGATGCACCACACCAGCCCAGCCCCTGCACTCACGCTAGGTAGGGCTCAAAGTCCCGTCCCAGGAAAGCCTGGAACTCGTCCGGCTGCTCCGCCATGGTCTCCAAGCACAGCGCACGCAGCGTCCCCGCAAACGCCTTGCTCCCCCACAGCGCCGTGCTCAATGCCTCGAACTGCGCACGTAGGGAAGGCAAGGGTGAACCCCCCCTTCCTTTGCAGGTACAGGTAGCAGGAAGGATTGAGTCCCCCTGCCGGCCACACCCTTCCGCAGATGCCTACCTGTGAGTCAGGCTTGCCGGGGAGCCTGCTCAGCCTCGTCTCCAGCCCAACCTGCAGGAGGCGAGCCTTGAGCAGCTTCCTGCTGGCTGTCACGTCACCTTCCAGCACCAACCGATTGAGCCGATGCCTCTTGAGGGTGTCGTCCTCCAGCCTCTTGCGGGCCTCACGCCACCCAACGTCTGAGGGAGGATGCAGGCTCAGGCCGTGGGCCAGGACTCATCCCATGGGCCTCAATAGGGGTTGAGGTGTCCATCACACAGTGAGCATCCCCGCCATGCATGGGAGGGAGTCAGCGCAACGCCCCGCTCCCTCCCTCAGGGCCCACCTTTACCCTCTGGCGGGGGGCTGGCCAGCGCGGCAAGACGCACCAGGCGGTTGCAGGGTGGGTCCAGCCCGAAGCCGACGTTCACGGCCGCATCGCCCAGCGGCACCACAAATGGATTGGACACACTGCAGACTGCTGTAGCGATGGCCCTCTCCTTGTACAGCATGTACTGCATGGCGTCGAAGGCTGTGGGATCCTCCAGGGTCCATGTGCTCTTGCGGGAGCGCTGCGTACCCATGGTGTCCAGGGGTGGTGCGACCCCTGCTCCCAGCATCCGCACGTGTTGGAGCCAGGGAATCAGGGTTTCACGCGACAATCCGGGCCTGCCCAGGCCAAGCCAACGGCCCTGGAGGCTTGCCCTGCCGAACCTTGAGCTCTTCTGAAGCAATGGGGAGGGCGGCGTACAGCGGATCGAAGCCAAGGCGGATTATTCGACGGGACAGCGTGCGCGCAGAATTCGGCCGCAAACACTCCTGGCAGCACCAGGAGAGCCTAGATCCTGATGACGCGGAGAAGATTGCCCCCTTTTAAACCCCAAGTATGTATACGTTTTAGCTTATGGGAGAGATGCCCGTCACGACAAGGAATCCCAACGTGGGGGTGGTCGATTACGTCATCGGTGCTCTCCCCCCCCTGCGCTACATCATCATCGCCACGTTTCTTGGTGCATCAGAACACACCAGAGGCACTGCAGGTCCAGTGGGTTTACATGTAAACCAGGTTTTCTGGTGTAAAGCCCACAAAATGTCATGTGAGAAGGATAAGGAGCTTCCATCACACTTTACCCATGCTGGAAGGCTATATTGGAGGGAATCGATCACGGCATGCTGTTCAGCATTGTGGGGAAGGGAGGCGAGGAAGAAGATTTGGATGAAAAGTACAGGCACATGGTGAGTGCCATATGAAACTCGGAAAAGCGGCAGGCGAAAAGATTGCATCGAATCCCGGTAGGGGCGGCGAGCGGTGATGGACATGGCCTGGTGGAATAGAAAGTGAGCGACACCTTACGATCGCCTGTCGCCAGAGAACCTGACAGGCACAGACTTCTGCTCAGATCAGGTGGATGGGCTGCTGGCGGATTGATAGCAGCATTGCTTGCTTAAAGTCTTCAAACACAGTCTGACCCCTGCAGGGGGCGAAATGGGATCGTCGTAAGGGGCGCACACTAGAGATGAGAGAACCCTCAGCAACACATAATTGGCCCATGCAAGCGCTGGTCACAGTGGGACTTGCGGCAGCCTGCTGCCTACACCGCTCCTCTTCCATCGCAGGTCCCAACTCCCCATACCTGATGCCATACCTGATCGGGGCCCAGGATCCTTGGCACCAGGCCAGGACCAGCTGCCGCCTGCTCAATGTGATGGGGGGAGGGAAGCGCAGCAGCCACTGCGATTCCTCCCCTGTCGCCACGCAGATGTGGATACCGAAATGGTGCCCGATCGCCCTCAGAGTGAGCTCGTCGCCCGCTGTGGCAGGCAGGGACATATGCCTGCGAACGAAGGAGAGTATGGATTCTAGGTGCACGTGTGTACAACTTTGCAGGCAGCTTGGGACATGGTGAGGAGGGCAACCGTGACCAGGAATGACGGTACAAGAAAGTGCATGCTCCAAGTCCATGGCCCCCTGCCTGGCCCTTTTACTTGCAACTCCTGTCAGCAGGTCAGAACATCGTCCCCCGTCTCGCCACGCTGGTCCGCTGCAGGCGCCAGGCATAGCTCCCCCTCCCCTACTCACGCCAGGTAAGCTGGGAAATCGGCGCCGAGGAAGCGTGCATACATGTCTGGGTGGGCAGCCATAGTCTCCAGACTCAGCTTGCGCAGGTTGCTAGCAAATTTCCGTGTCTTGTACAGCGCCCAGCTCATGGCCTCGAACTGGAACACGTCATGGGAGGAAGGGTTGGGTGGGGAGGGCAGAGGTTTGGCTTGATGGAGCACACCCATGCGGAGCATGGATGCGAGTGCGGAGCACCCATGGGCGCCTCCCCGGCAAGGGCCCCTGCAATCACCTGAGAGGGTGCCTGGCAGGATGTGAAGCAGGCCCGGAGTTCCACAGAAGCCAGCCTGTCACGCAGGCACTCCCTGGAGGAGACGCTGCCCTGGCACAGGAGGCGCAAGCGTGCGGGCAGCCAGGTGTCCTTTCTGTTGGGAGGAATCACTCGGCAATCCTCCCATCCATAGTCTGCAGTGGTTGGGAGTCAAGGTGGAGGTAAGGAACATGGTAGACAGGCTTGGTGTTACCGGACCAGGTTCTGCATGTGGTTGTGCGTTATCGCTGATGCCATGTGTGGGCCGCCTCCACCACACTCCCGACACGTGTTTCTCCGCACCCGCTTGACCGTCGGAGGGCTGCCGGAGGCGCATTACGGGGCCTCCAGCTTGGCAATCCGCCTGACTGAAGCCAACATTGACGGCAGCATCCCTGTCAAACACGATCAAAGGATGTGCGAGGGTCTCCAGTGCAGCGGTTATACGAGCTTCCCGCTCCAGGCACCCCTCAGGGCTGTATTGGGCCAGAGTGTCGACGTCTCCGGGGATGACTTTGGGCTTGACCATCCCGATCACTGTATGGTAGCTCGACATGCTGCACCGTGCTGGTTAATCTTGAATGCGGAGTCCTTCTTGCACTGTGGTGTGGGCCGAGGGTCAACATGTCGTACGGGAGTTGGTAGAGTCTGACACCAACGCAATCTGCACTCGGCATCAATAAGCTACGACTGGCCGCATTGGCCGGGCCATGATCATGCGACAACCTCACCAGCTGTGTAAAACAATCAAAAGCTAATTGTTGGTGATGGTGTGATGGCAGAAGGGAGTTTCGAGGCTGGAGAGGGTGCCGGGTGTGAACTGTGGACACTTCGTCAGACGTGCAGGTCAAATTGCGGCTCGTATGAGACTTGTCACTTCATTTAATGAGTCATAAGAGCACGATTGCTGTGCATTCGCGTCCCTGCTCTCTGTTATCACCCTCGCCACGACCATCGGGCCCTTCGCATCCGGTTCGCGTGCACTCTGACACGTGGCGTCCCGGTCTGCCACATGTGTGCTCAATCAGTGTATCTCAAAGTCTGCCATACTAACAAAACCCTGGAACGATGAAAAACTCTGGGAGAGCGGGGAGGGGTGCTCCTCAAAGTGAGGAGTGCGTGCGCCGCCGTCCACAAAGTGAGCGCAGAGGGTGTTCGACATTTCAGGTGTTGGGTGCAGGATGGTGTTTGCGGGGCTCGGCCCCGCTTCTGCTGGAACGCCACAAGTCAAAATCCGGCGACGGCCGGAAGGGAGGAAGGGAGCAAGCGGGATGCATTGGAGGGTGGCTGCTGCAGGCCGGAACGGCCTGCTGAGCAGAGCGGGTGCTGACACATGGCAGGCGTATGGGAGGTTTGGACCGTTTGCACATGGGGATCCAATGCCGGGGGCCTGCGCGGGGTATTGGGGGATAGACACGCCACGCCCAGGGGCCCCCTCCACGCCTGCCCATGCCGCTCAGATGGAGGCGACTCCTCGCGTGAGAGGGAGTCGGTGAGAGGGGTGCTCGAGTAGTGTGGAGGGCGGACCTCTCCTGGACTCTCCACACGACTTGGCTCACGCGGAGGGGACCTTCGGATCCCCGGCACAGCCTCGACGGCGCTCACGGTCCAATAGCCCAGCCGATGCACCCCCCCGTCAAGGGGAAGAGAGAGCCCTGGAACATTTAAGGAGGGGCACAGGAGTGTGTGTGAACGCTGCTGGGGCACAGCCACAGCTCCTGGGCCAAGACCCCCCCCCCCCTGCCCCCCCGGCATCCACCAGCCGCCGCCCCTCCACCCCCGTCTCGGTGGCGCACAGCCCCCTCGGCACCCTCCCTCGCCCCCTCGGCACCCTCCCTCCACCCCTCGGCACCCTCCCTCGCCCCCTCGGCACCCTCCCTCGCCCCCTCGGCACCCTCCCTCCACCCCTCGGCCAGGGATGATCCTCGCACGCACCTGGGCGTCGCTCCGCCTCAGCTGGCGGTGTGCACAGGGAGCATGCCCGGGGCGGGCCCGCCGGAGCCCATTCCCCCAAACCCGATGCTCACAAAGGGCATGCCGGGGCCGCAGAGCCCATTGTGCTGCGTCCCGGAAGAGCCTGCATGTATTTGTAGGAGGGGGCAGAGGATGAATTGCACTCCCTGGGGTGGGGGCGTGGGGGATATGAGGGGGGTGGGTGGGAATCTCCGTTTCCGGTCCACAGTAGTGCCCATTGCAGCGGCGCTCACACCCCGCAACCCCGCCACGCGCCCAGGCCCTCCTGCGCTGGAGCTTGGTATCACCTCCTCCCCCCCCATTTCCCCCTTGCCCCCCCTTCCCCCTTTCCCCCCTCAAACACACACACACCTGGGCCGGGCATGGAGTGGGGCGGCGAGGGCAGGGACAGCCCCGAGGCGGAGCGCGGTGCGAGCGCCAGCGGCGCCAGCGCGTGCTGCTGCGCCGCCAGCGCCCCCGCGTTGACGCCGCTGTCAGCCAGGAAGGGCGAGGCGAAGGGCCCCGCGGGGCCGACGCCGCCCCCCGGGTGCGGCGCGGCGGCGGCGGCCTTGCGCTGCGCCTCTGCGGCCAGCGCGCCCAGGGCGTCGGCGTCGCCCGCCTCGGCTGCCACCCAGGTGCAGAGCGCGAGGCAGTCCGGGGTCCAGGGGAAGGAGTGGATCATGAGCTGCGCGACTTGCAGCCCGCTCAGCACGTGCTTGAACACGGTGGACTCGAAGTCCAGCACCAGGATGTGCTCCTCGCGCAGGGCTTCGCGCAGCCCGCGCGCGGCCTCGTGCGAGGCCAGGTACAGCGCGGCCAGCGGGCGCGTGCCCGTGCCCACCGGCTCGGCGCGGGCCAGGGCCTCGACGACGCCACGGCGCCGCGCACGGATGCCGGCCAGCTTCCCCTGGAACAGCGCGCGCAGGCCGGCCAGCGAGGCGCGCTGGTCGGCGCGCAGGTCCAGCGCGCGCGACACCGCGGCCACGCGGTCGTCCGGCCCGGCGCCGCCCGCGCCCGCCTCCACGCGCGTCAGGCTGAAGTGCTTGACCCCGGCCGGGTTGCACAGGCCCACGCGCGTCCACAGCCGGCAGACGTCGTCAACCAGCGCGCCGACGCGCGCGGCGGGCGCGCCGCCCTCCACCAGGCTCTGCGCCAGCTCGTTCACGTAGGCCTTGTAGTAGCGCGCCAGCTCCGCGGGCGTCATGCCGCGCAGCTCCTCCGCCGTCAGCGACTGCGACTGGCCCTCGCGCAGCGTCAGGCGCAGGTCGCCCTGAAACACCACGGGCAGCGCGGGGTCGTCCTCGCCCGCCGAGCGGCCGACGCCGCTGGAGCCGGCGCCGGCCGCGCCGCGCGGCGTCGGGCCAGCGCCGGACTCAGCGGGGGCGGGGCCCGGGGCGCCGCCGCGCCCCGCCCCGGAGCCCGGCGGGCGGGAGCTGGACAGCGCGGGCAGCGCGGGGCCCGTCTCCTCGCCGGGAAAGCGGGAAGAGGCCGCCGCGCCAGCGGGCGCGGCGACAGCCGCCGCCTCCTCACGCGCGGTGGCCGCCGCCAGGGCGGCCTCCAGGCGGCTGGCGTGGCTGGCCAGCGCCGCGCGCTCCCCCGTCACCCGGTCCAGCTGCAGGGTCAGGGTCGCTACCTGCTCCTCCAGCTCTGCCACCTGAAAGGGGGGGGTTCGATGCGTCAGAGGAAGGGGTTGGGGGCCGGAAGGCGAGGCACGCGGGCTCCTTGGGCAGCGAGGCGAGCGAGTCCCGGCAAGCCAGGGGCTTGCACGGCCAAGGAAACAGGCACGGCATGACCAAGGCATGGGGCTGGATGCCAGCGGCTGGTCGTGCCAGGCCCCACAACCCAGCTGGTTCCGCCATGGTGGCTGCCACCCCCAGCACCCCACACCGCTCCACTACCTTCATCTTCTGGCGCTCGCGGAAGCGGCGCTGGGCCCGCCTGTTCTTCTCCTGCAGGGCGGTCTGTTTTCGTACCCCCTGTGCCTTTCCGGCGCGGGGTGGGGGGGAGGGGGTCCCCCGACAGTCTGCTCCCGACTGGGGGTCCAGCGTCTGCTTGGCCAGCCGATCCGACAGGCCCTCCGAGGAGGAGGGATCGGCCTCGGACTTCACACCGGGCTCTTGGGTTGGAATGGGGAGGGAGGCGGGGTAGGTCCCGAAGGGGTCCGGGGGCCCCGCGTCCACGTCCTTGAGGTCTGCACAGTGAGCGTACCGATGCACGTTGCTCGGCCGTGAATGTGCAGAACGCCGCGACAAGGAGAATGTGTCGGATCAAACGGCGCTCCAGCGCCCCCTTCAAAGCACTCACAATCGTCCAGGAAGGCCTCCACGTCGAGATCCCACGCCATCCCCGTGAGTTCCAAGGGGTCGGGAGCCAGGGGTGGAGGGGCCCCGCCCTCAACGAAATCCTGGTTCATATCCGGTCGCGCGCCGACGTCAGCATGGAGGGCTTGATCTGGGATATCGAACACCGAGCAATGGGGCGGGGTGTGGCCGTGAGTATGCTCTGGAGGAGGCGCGGAGTTGCTTGCGGTGGGATGTCGAGACTAGAAAGAAAGAGCACGGACTTACGTTACCGCAGCGGAAACCCAGAGTACCAGCGACCACCGACCTTGACGCCTTTCATCTGCCCTTAAAATTTATGGAATATCCCTCGTCAGTGCCAGTGGCCGGTGGACATGCCGCCCAAGCTGTGGTATTTAAGACTCGGATCGGTGTCGGAGTAGGCACGGCCCCGATATCGCCATTTTCGATGACTCATTAGTCGACTTTGAAGATTGTGAACTGAAGAGAGTTCTCGTATCTTGGACCCTGTAGCAATGATAGGCGAAGTCTAGCATGTTCGAGATCCGTCGAGAGCCTGCGCGGAAGTTTATCATATTGTGTTCGGGGGTCTTTTTAGAATGGCAGGCTCTCGCTGTGCAGGACTCCCGACTCCCACAATACACCATGAGACCCGTCCAGCTACCTCCATGACTGTTCCAAGGGCGTCACTATCGAGGACAGATGATGTCTGACGGGAGGGAGTGAACATGTTTGGGGCAAAGGGGAATGCTTGTGATTTTCACAGACCTATGGGAAAGGAGGGTGACCAATCATGGCGCGTAAGGGTCCCACCAGATGGGGCAGACAGAATACCAAGGTAAGGCCCTCAAGGATGACAGAGTGATCGCAACTCAGCATGTGCACGAGGCCTGGGTGTGTCAGAATCTGGTCCAGGACGAGTGTGCAGGAATGCTAACCATGCTGCTGCTCATCAGCAGCAGAGCCACAGATCTGATGTGACCAATCTACAGTAGACATATTCATGTCTCACAGGCGTAATGTGTATAGCCATCGGATCCAAGCTCTTGCTGCATGAGAAGCTTCTGAATGACCCGCTGGGTGCCACAAGCGATCACCGTCCAAGTAGAGGCACAGGAGGCTGAACGGTAATTTTGTGCACACTTGGATGCCCTCATCATGCCCTGCCGAGTACGGGCTTAGACAAATGTCGGAATCGGCTTGTAATGCTATCCGGCGCTGGTTGATGGTCGGAAAGGGACTCCAATGATGTGCCTGCTGCCCTGCTGCGCGCGACAGTCCCCTCGTCGCGACACTCATAAATTCAAAATCACGGGGGCCATTCGAGGTCCCCGCAACCCCTCCCTGAAGGAAAAACGATTGGTTGTCAACAAGGTGCACAGAGAAGGTTGATAATTTACTGCGTACGAGGCCCCTTGTCGGCAGGATGGAGCTCGCGACGGGGCATCTCGGGGACGCCCTCCCCATCATGAACACCATGAACGCCCCCGTGGAGCTCTGTGAGCGCATCAAGGAGCGCTTCCTGAACTTCTTGAACGATTTCATCTTGCAAGATCGGGGGGAGCCGGAGCTCAGTCAGCTGAGCGGAGCCTCAGGTGCGCTGGGGGTGGGCACAAAGGGGCTTCTGAGAGAGATTTCTCATCGGGCGCCTCGACGCCGCGACGAATGAGACACATACACGCATGACGGCCTACTCGATGCTCAGATTCCATTGCTCCCACAAGCCCGTACGTTCAACGCCCTTGAGCAGGCAGCAACTCCACACCTCACTACGTCGACCAGCTGGGGGTGCTGAGGGAGCGGGACCTCACCACCCTCAGTGTGGATTTTGAGCATCTCAGTTTGTACGACCAGGTAAGGTTGCTGAGAAGGAGAGGGGTTTGGGAGTTGCAGGTTTTGTGTAAGAGCTGCAGGCCATCACTGTCGCTCAGTCCATTTGCTTGTGAGGAGGATGTTTGCACGTGCTGCTGACCTGGGCAGAAACAGCTTGTGAGGGTTCCAACCTCCCAACCCGTGAGAAAGCGTGCTATCACTTGATGACCCTGTTTGCTCTTGTGCTCACTACAGTGGGATCGCTGAAGGACACGCAGTTCCAAGGTCCATCTCACCATCAAGCACCCACCCTGTCTCTCCCCTCCATCACTTGCACACCTCCCAACCCCTGCATCCACAGACACTTGCTGTGAACGTGGCAGAGGCATACTACCGCCTTGAGCCCTTCCTCAAGACCGCCCTCGCGGCCTTTGTGCGCCAGCACCTGGACATCTATGCGGAGCAGGAGGACGGCTCCCCCAAGGAGTTCTGGGTGTCGTTCTACAACCTGGAGGTGCGAGGAGGGGATGGCATGGAGCACTCCATTGTCTCGCCCTACCAGTACACGGCAATCGGCCCTCTGCATGCTCACTTCAGGCATGCGTGCGCTCACATCCTCTGCCCGCCCGCCCCGCAGCAAGGGGACAGGCTGCGCGAGCTGCGGTCCAACAAGATTGGGAAGCTGAGCCAGTTTGTGGGAACCGTCACAAGGACAACGGAGGTCCGCCCTGAGCTGTACAAGGGCACCTTCAGGTGCATGCAGTGCATGCGCGAAGGTGCGCGTCGGACGAGGGCCTGCCAGAGTATTTTGTGTGATGTGATGAGGACTGGGACATGGTCTACATGGTGTGGCATTGGGTGGTGGGTGTGATGCCTGGCCCCAGAGTCTCAGTGGTGAGCGCACACTTGCTGAACTCTGGGAGCTCGCAGCTGATCTGGCGTGGTAGCCTGAGGCCTGTCTGACAGCTTCATCCTGTTCTGGAACAAACTTCACTCCTCCTCCTTGCTGGCACTCCTTTCCTGATGCACTTCCCATCATTTGCATGGCTGAGCAAATTCGCTCATGTGCCCCCTGCTCCCCCATTCCTCCCTCCATTGCATGCAGTGGTGAGAGGTGTGGAGCAGCAGTTCAAGTACACCCAGCCCCTGATCTGTCCTGATGCCACCTGTGGCAACAGGTAGGCACATGCTCGGAGAGCGTGTGAAGGCGGATGGATTGCTGTGTCGCAACCGCAGAAGGGCCTTCTGCGGGGCAACCCCAGCCTGCCAGGGCTGCCTCTCCTGCACTGCCTGGGAAAAGGTCCAGGGCTGGAACCCACCCACCACCCTTCCCGCCACCTCACTCCCCTACCTCTGCGTGCAGGATTGCCTGGTCCCTGCTCATGGACGAGTCGCAGTTTGTCGACTGGCAGAAGGTCAAGGTGCAGGAGAACCCGGACGAGGTGAGCATAGGCTCGGGTGTGGGGATTTTCCCCCACACCACCTGGCGCACATGGGGCGGTTGCAGTCTGCCCCCACTTGCAGCAGGGAAGCAGCGTGCTCTTCCCCCGCACCGAGGAACCAGGGGAGTCACCTTGGATGCAGCGAGAATGCTGTTCGCCACTGCGTCACCTCCAAGAACCAGTAACACCCACTTTTGCCCGCCGCCCCTCCTCCCACCCGCCCCCAACCGTCCTTTCCCCCCCAGGTCCCCGCCGGCTCCCTCCCTCGCACCATGGAGGTCATCCTGCGCAACGACCAGGTGGAGAGCGTGCGCCCCGGCGACAAGGCCTGCTTCACCGGCTGCCTGGTGGTGGTGCCCGACGTCGCCGCCCTCACGTGAGCGCTCAGGGTGGTGGCGGCATTTGGGGTGGTGGAGGTCGGTGCTGCAAGCATGCCCTCCGGAGCAGGGCTGCCAGCGTGCGGGCCGCCGTGGATGCTCGAGACTGTGCTTGTGGTGGCGGTGGGTGTCACCCCCCCGCACTCTACAAAGCACCATCACAACGCACCCCCCTCTTCTTTCTTTCTCAACGTCCCGCGCAGCGCGCCCGGGGAGCGCGTCCAGGCCCGGCCCAGCGGCGGCGAGCGCGGCGGCGCGGCGCCCGAGGGCGGCGTCACCGGCCTGACCGCGGGCCCCGCGCGCACAGGCGTGCGCGAGCTGAGTTACCGCCTGGCCTTCCTGGCCTGCGCCACGCGCCCGCTGGACGTCGGGTCCGGCGTGGTGAACATCCGGGGCGGGGAGGAGGAGGACGGCCCCGCGGCCGTCCTGGCGGGGCTGACCCAGGAGCAGGCGGAGTCGCTGGAGGCCATGCGGCGCGACGCCTCGCTGTACGACCGCCTGGCGGACAGCGTGGCGCCCCACGTCTGGGGCCACCGCGACGTGAAGCGCGCGCTCCTGCTCATGCTGCTGGGCGGCGTGCGGAAGAGCACGCGCGAGGGCATCGCGCTGCGCGGCGACATCAACGTGGCCATCGTGGGCGACCCCGCCTGCGCCAAGAGCCAGCTGCTCAAGTGGGTGGCGGGGTTCCTGCCGCGCGCCGTGTACACCTCGGGCAAGGCCAGCAGCGCGGCGGGGCTGACGGCCACCGTCGTGCGCGAGGCCGACTCCGGCGAGTTCTGCATCGAGGCCGGGGCGCTGATGCTGGCGGACAACGGCATCTGCTGCATCGACGAGTTCGACAAGATGGATGTGAAGGACCAGGTGGCCATCCACGAGGCCATGGAGCAGCAGACCATCTCCATCGCCAAGGCAGGCATCCAGGCCACGCTGAACGCGCGGACCAGCGTGCTGGCAGCGGCCAACCCCGCGGGCGGGCGCTACGACCGCTCCAAGCCGCTCAAGTACAACGTGGCGCTGCCCCCCGCCATCCTCTCCCGCTTCGACCTGCTGCATGTCATGCTAGACGAGCCCGACGCGGCGCTGGACCGCGCCATCGCGGGGCACATCCTGGACGCGCACCGCGGGCGCGGCGCGGTGCTGACCCCGCCCTACGCCCAGGCCGACATGCAGGTGTACATCAAGTACGCGCGGTCGGTGCGGCCGCGCCTGGGCGCGCCCGCGCGCGCCGCGCTGGTGGCCGCCTACCAGGCCCTGCGCGGGGCCGACGCGGCGCCGGGGACCTCCGCCGCCTACCGCATCACCGTGCGCCAGCTGGAGGCGCTGGTGCGGCTGAGCGAGGCGCTGGCGCGCCTGCACCTGCGCGCTGAGGTGCGCGCCGCAGACGTGCGCGAGGCGCACCGCCTGGTCAAGAACAGCATCGTGTCGGTCGACGCGCCAGACCAGGAGCTGGTGGGGGGCGGGGGGGAGGAGGAGGAGGAGGAGGAGGTCGCGGCCCAGGTCATGGGCCTGCCGGGCAGCGGGGGAGAGCGCGGGGAGGCGGGTGCTGGGGCGGGCGGCGCTGCGCCGGAAGGGGAGACCAGTGCTGCCGACGGCGGGGCCGCCCCGCGCGCCGCCGCGGAAGACCGGGCGGCCCGGCGGCGGGTGCCCACCGCCAAGTACAACAACGTCAAGGTGTGTCGCGGGGATGGGGGGGCAGGGGCCGAGAGCGCGCAACCTTCTTGGACTCGGTGTGCGGTCGAGTGGGTCCGTCACCTTCCTGGACGCCTGGGGGCCGCTCCCTTGCCCGACCCACTCCCTGACTCCCAAATCACCGCAGAACCTGCTGGTGCTGCGGCTGCGCCAGGCGGACGACGAGGCCGGCGAGGCGGTGGACGAGGAGGGCGCGCCCGAGGCGGGCCTCACCCAGCGCGACCTCCTGCGCTGGTACTTCGAGTACATGGTGGAGCGCGGCGCGGTGGCGGGGCAGGAGCAGGGGCTGGAGGAGCTGGTGCTGGCCGAGAAGGTGCTGGGCACGCTCATCCGGCGCGAGCACGTGGTCATGGTGGTGCAGACCCCGGCCCAGGCCGAGGGCGAGTCGCCCGCCGAGTACGGCCGCCGTGCGCAGCTGGAGCGGGTGCTGGCCCTCAACCCCAACTACTCCCTGGACTGATGAAGAGTTGTTTGTGGGGGAGGAGGGACGCGGGCCCCTCCGGGAGAGCTGGCCTGAGACACCCTACATCCAACCCAGGGCCTCGGAACCCCCCACCCAGAAAGCCCCAGCTTTGCACGCCCAGGCTGGCCTTGACCTTATCTGACATCCTGTAAAGATTGAAAGAGACAAAGAAATGTGGACGAGAATGTAGTGTAGCAGACACAATTTGAGGTACCCCTGGGCAAGGGCCCGCTCCCCATTCAGTCATCCCGAAAATGGCATCCCGTGCTGCTTCTTGGCTATCAAGCCTGGCGAATCGAGCGATCAACAATGCGCTTGGAATTCATGGGCAGTGTGCAAGCCCTCCCACGCTGTGCAGCTGTTGTCACTCGAAATCGGAGGGGATCGCGGCCAGTTTAGATGCGCTGGCATCGTCCGCGGGATCATCCAGCTTGCGCCCCCGACCCCCGCTCACTTAAAACCGGGCAGCTGTGTCCAGGCCCCACCCTGTACACCGCGGCGCCACCGGGTTGCAGGATACCTTGGAGTATAACCACGGCCAGCTTGGGGACGGCACGGCCGCTTGCTTCACCCCGATCCCGTGGCATCCGGCAGTTGGCGGTTGAAAGCTGAAGCTCGCGGGCCTGTGCTCGATCTGAGAGCCCACGGCACGGCATGGAGACCACCAGCCTGCAGAACAGCAACGGAGTCCTGGATCGCGGAGAGAATTCCTCCCTGAGGCCGGCGGGGAAGCGTGCGCCCCAAGCCGAGGTGAGGTCCTGGGAGGCCCCTCGCGGCAGGGTCTATACTCGGATAGCCAGTGCAGCGAGACTGCCCGCAGCTCCTCTTGAATTAATGTAAACCGTGTTCATTCTGATCTTGGCTCCCAGGAGACGGAGAAGAACCGGAAGAGGGCAGCCTTCGAGGACATCACAAACGCCAAGAATGGCGGGGTGAGTGCGGACCAAAGTACTCGGTGGAACCCGGCCTCGATACCCGCATTGTTCATGACGAGCGTCTCGAAGCTGACCTTGGCTGATCCGGGCCCCTCCCTTCTGCGCACTGCCGTCCGCAGGTCGAGGCCTCGTGTAATGGACAGGTGGGGTTCGCCCAGTCCTACAAAAACCCGGTCTACAGCTCAGGCTCCCAGGTGCGTCCTCTCTTGACTCGAAAGCATTGCTGATGGCCATGAGTGGCAGTAGAGGTGTGTTTGAGTCGCCACATCCGCCCAGTCCTTGGAACAGGTTGTTACCGGGATGTACCCTCCAGCCCTCCACCCCGGCCCCCTCCCTGCCCCAGGACGCCCTGGCCCAGCGCATGGGCTCCGTCGGCCTGGAGACCTCGTACGCGCTGCCAACCCAGGTGTACGGCGGCGGCCCCTGTGACATCGACGTCCCCGAGCTCGGAGACCACCTGGCCTGCGCCGAGGTGGCCAACGACATCTTTGCCAACCTGCGCAAGGCGGAGGTGGGTGCCTGCCTGCTTGGCGGATGCTGCTTGGAGCAGCATGGACCGAGCACCCCGACAGCTTCTGTCGATTGCCCAGTGCCCGGCCTGTCCCACCCTGGGCCCCTGAATCCTCTCCCACCCACCCCACACCTCGTGCCCCTTGCCTCCCACGACAGACGCGGCGCCGCCCAGCCACCAACTACATGGAGGTCGTCCAGGCCGACATCAACCCGCTGATGCGCAGCATCCTGGTGGACTGGCTGGTGGAGGTGGGGCAGGAGTACCGCATGTGCTCCGACACGCTCTACCTGGCGGTGGCCTACGTGGACCGCTACCTGTCGGTGCGCGCGGTGCCGCGCAGCCAGCTGCAGCTGGTGGGCGTGGCGGCCATGTGGGTGGCCTCCAAGTACGAGGAGATCTACCCGCCCTCCGTGGACGACTACGCGTACATCACCGACCACACCTACAGCCGCGGGCAGCTGGCGGGCGCGGAGCGCGACCTGCTGGCTGCCCTGCGCTTCGACCTCACCCAGCCCACGGCCAAGACCTTCCTGCGGCGCTACGTCAAGGCCGCGGCTGCCGAGCTGGACCTGGCCTACGCGTTTGAGCCGCTGGCCTCCTACCTGGCGGAGCTGAGCCTGCTGGACTACTCGGCGCTGGGCTACCTGCCCTCCATGCTGGCCGCCTCCGCCGTGCTCCTGGCCCTGGTCACGCTGGAGCACCGGCCCTGGACTGCCACGCTGGCGCACTACACGGGGTACGCGCCCAAGGACCTGCGCCACTGCGTGCAGGCGCTGCACGAGCTGGCGCTGGCCGCGCCCGCCAGCCAACTCCCCGCCACGCGCGAGAAGTACTCCTCCACCAAGCAGATGGGCGTGGCGCGCATCGCGCTGCCCGCCACCCTCCCGGACTGGATCTTCCAGTGATGCCACTGGAGCGGGGCTGGGGGAGGGGCGGAGGGGGGCTGTGTGCCGCCCCGCGCAGCGCCTGCCCCTGTCCCGTGGGACGGCCCCGTGGCGCGACGCAGTGCCCTCGGGGAGAGGGCTCTGTGGACGGCATCCCCGCGCCCACCATTCTGTCGAGGGCTCTGTGGACGGCGTCCCCGCGCCACCACTTTGTCGAGGCAATGGCCGCCGCCGCCGCCGGTGGATCTGGTGGCGCCCCGCCACCTCGACGCTGCCGCCATCGTTCCCAGACTCCATTTCCCCATCTTTCCCAGACTCCATTTCCCCATCTTTCCAGACCCCCGCCCCCACACACGCCCGCCCCATCCCAGACCCTCCTTTCCCACACCCACTGCTAGGCTGGAACAGTACGTCTTCTCCCCCCCTCCCATCTATTCATCCTTTGTTTTAGATAGCCTGTGTGGTAGGTAGGTACACCGTCCTTTTCCCATACA